TGCAGTTATTATCAGAACTCAAATGGATGTTTTAGCCCTAGAAATTGCATGTGTCTATCTGCTGTACTGGTGAAGTTATGTTGGATAAAGTAAATTAAAAGGCACAAATTCTGACCCACCTCTATGTACCTGTTGGGCCTCTAACTCTTAAAATCCTCATAGCATGAAGGTAAGATTTGGTGCAGCTTTACTAAATACGCTAAAGTTATTGCATCATAACCAATACCCAGCAAACTTTGAATGTCTGTGTAGATGATGAACGTGATAAACGTTGACCTAATGAACATTATTATGACAGTATAGCTGTGCCTACGTGTCACTGAGCTGCGTCGAGCTAGCACGGCTAAAGCGTGTCCTTCCTCTGCGTCTCTGTGTTCTGTCCATGTTTTAAAATCGTTTGCACCACCGTCCGTCCACGAGGTCCAACATGTGCGCCTCTCAGGGGCAAACACAGGTGATTCTCCCACCCTCGGCTCTGCAAACATTTCCCAGCGGCTGTGTCACCGCGTTGCTTTGCCCTCGGCTCATAAAGCGATGATTACACACTCGGCCTTATCAGGGCTCCGCCGCGGTGATGTAATTTGAAGCAGTTACCGAAATGCAAACATGCCAATGGAGACACGCAAAAGGTGTGTTTAAGCCAGCTTCCTGCTACCTGCTGCAGACGGGCCGGGTCGTAAAAACACTGTCCTCTGTGCTGTTGTTAGAGCCTGAGTCCGCTGTTTGTATTACCAACATGTAATAAGTGCAGCTGGACAGCAAACATTTAATACCCGTGTTTGGCGTTCCCTCGTCGAGCGTGTTGTCTGTGCAAACACGATCCTCGGCCCTCGCAATCCCACTTTGTGCAAACACACTGGAGGTGAGGAGGTAATCCGATCCCGCATGATGTCATCTGGTTAACTCCCAGGTTTATTTTAACCGTCGGAGGAACGTGAGACTGCGTGCTGAACTGTAGCTGTCCTTGTAATGAGGAAAACCTCGCCGTAAATCATGATAACATCCAGCTTCCTGCGAGCAAAGTAGGACTTTGGCATAATTTCGGGTTATGGAGAAGACGGAAAGTATGTGTTTGCATCTCGACTGTTTACTCAGAGAAATATAATTGTTACCATATAAAGAGGATAGTTATATATCTTTTTTGTTTGTTCTGGAAACGAGATGCCACGGGGAGACGTGTAAAACTAGAGCGAAAGGAAGGGAAACGCCACGAGACCTGTTCTTGTTTACCAGTCGTAGGTAATATTTGGCCTCATTGGCGATTATCGCGGCTTAAAGTTTAATCACTCACATTGTTATCTTGCAGAATAATAGTATAAAGAAAACAAGGGTGGCATGAGTTGCTTCCTGGCATTCCGATCTTTATTAATCACCTGATTAGCGATGCATCAATTCAAGGATGTTAATTGAGACGAATGCTCTTGGCGTCTGTCATATTTGTCTCCGTACTCGCCACCAGCCGCCGCCCGGCATGTCAACAGTCGCGCCATTGTGTTGAAAGGAAGGACTGTTAAAGAGCAACTAATGCGCGCTGACTGGAACAAAGCCGGGGACTGTGTGGGCCTGTGATGTGCTAATCTTTCTGACAGCTAGGTAAAGACTCGAGGCAACGGAGTCAACGTGCGGGGAAGGTCAAACGTTTGCCTCAGAAACCTTTTTGGCTCCGTCTTTTCTTTTTTTTTAAAAAGCGGTTGTCTTTTTTGTGATCATCCAGAGGTAATTTAACACCACCGCCGCCACTGCTGCTGTGGAAATTTAATTATGTTTGCTCGTTTGTGTATGCAAGAGCGATTGACTGAAGCCAAGCTCTGGCAGATGACCCGCCAAGATGCTCCGAAAGGTAGCACTGTATGTTCACGATGCAGAAGAGTTCAATTAGGCACCCGGAGATGAGTGATGTTGTTTAATCAAAGCTGCGATTGGGTTTGATATCTCGAGGCAGATCTGAAAAATTATTTCAGCGCTATCTCTCATCAATCCATCTCTTAGATCTGCAGATATTCTTTAGGAAATCAGCCAATGAGTCAAGTCAAGACAAGCGCCGGTGCTCCGTTCCTGACAGTGATACGGTTAACCTTTATCAGAGCATCAGTTAAACAGTACAGCGGCGTTGACGCGATCACACATAATGGTTAATAGAAGCCCACTTTAATCTCTTTGACGCCGTGCATGTTCAGCACGGTGAGTTCATGGCCAAATTCCTTTAATGACAACACAAATGATAAATTGTTCGCTTCAAAGAAATCCGCTGCTTTCAAGCTTGATCAGAATCTGCTTTGCTTGTCATAATTTAAAGTATTTGCCCTGATATGTGCAACAAAAACAAACTGAGCAAAGTGAAACCCTTATTATCAAACCAGCATGATGTGCAACCATTGAGCATGCTTGATTCATCCACTGCAGGTAATCTCTTGTTGGTCGATGTGGTTGGCGTGAGTCTCGATGATACCGAGCTCTGAAGTGTTTAAACAGGCGGCGACAAACTTATTTCATAACTTGAGTCAAGCAGCATCCACTGACTGCATCTCAAGGTGGACAAAGCATCTGTAGATTCACTAAAAGGGTTCCTGTGCTGCAGTTTTAAAGCTCAACATGCTAGCATACAACAGTGTGCAAGGAAATGGTTCAATACATAGAACATCAAATCTAGTATGGCCAAAGTACCTCCTGCATTTGGTCACATTTACAGTTGGCTGCTTTTCTGTCTCCTCCAGTGCATCATGTACATCACAGTGTCTTGTGTGAGTATAAACAAGCTTAATCCACCAGGAGTGCACTCAGATGACTCAGTTTGCACTGCAGACTGCAATGACAGATGAGCAAGACAGTCCTGAGCTTAAGGCGCAGTGTTATGATAAGTAGTATGACCTAATTGTATACGTACTGCATGCAGCAGTATGTAGTTTGTGAGGGCAGCTGCAGTGTGTACTGAAAGTAAAAAAGACGTGCAATTTGAAACGCAGCCTCGTTGTGGTGGCTCCAGCCGTTGCCATCCGTAGACTGTATATAGAAGATGGATGTAGCCACCGTGAGGTCACCCGTTTGATTGTGGACTGCCGTTTTGAAGCCTCCAATTTGGCATTTGGCCTTTTGAAACCGGGCGTGACGAACAAGGTGTGGTGACCTGTCTTGAAACCTCACTGGCTTTATTAGTCTGTTTTATTCTAAATGGGGCTAAATTAGCATTATTCTGTGTTCAGAAAGTCTTGAAAGTAGTGATTGAGTCCATACACTTTGGAGGAAAAGTAAGAAATCAAGACAGAAGTTGGGTTATTTTCACGTTGGGATGTTGTGTCCTGCAGGAGTGAATGGCCCCCTAATTGACCCAGTATGCTACCCGACAACTTCAACTGCGACGTCAATCCCAAGTCTTCCAAGACAACATCAAATAAGAGGGGCTAGGTGTAACTCTAGTTCCATGAGATCACATGAAAAAGAACAGTGGAGATTTATTTTGGGTGAATTTTAAGTTGTTTGGGATGTTTGAGTGGATAAGACTGCTGCTCAAGAGTGGTCCATGCTGTGGTTGTTCTTTAAGGTTGCTCAGAAGCATCTAACTTACAATACTATTTTCTTCAGCCCAAAAGAAGTTATACGTAGTTGAAGCATGCTCAAAGCTTTAGGCTGCTCTAAAACAGCCTACAAGTTCTTGCAGTGGAGAACAGCCAATGAATTCTGTACAGCTTTTTTGCAACCAGAGGAGTCGCCCCTGCTGACAATTAGGATGAATGCAAGATTAAGACACGTCTACGTTCGCTTTCAGACACAGAGGCTACATCTTTTTTTTAAAAATGCGGTCTATGGCCTGTCGATAGCAAAATGATGAACTAAAATGGAAAATAAATGACTACGTTTCTGATGTAGTAAACTACTTTTGCTATGCTGTTCTAACTCGCCCATCATTGCTTATTTCAACACTTAATTTGCACTAAGTTGACATTTTAGATGCAACACAACATAAAATGTGCCAACTCCTTCTTGTAAGATCAGCAGAGAAGTCGTGCTCATGAGAATTTTCCAGAGAAAACGTGCACAGACGCCTGATTGACATGTTGATAATTCGGCCCTTTTTAAGCCGGTTAGCTTTGGCGCCATTGTTGCGGAACGCTACACCGTTTGGCCGCGTTGGAGTCGAGCGTGACGCGGTGGCAGCAACATCTGATCTCACATCTGAAAGACTTGTGCAGACAAGCCTTGTGTAAACCAAGAACCTGGAGGAAGCCTGGCTAACCTCTAAACCCACCGGAGCCATTAAAACAACAGGTGCTCGGTGTTCGGAGGGGGGGCGAGCTCAGCTGTCGAGCGCAGGCGGCCGCGGCCGGCTTGTGGTCTGAATCGCGGCAGCTGCAGGTAAACAGCGTCGGGTCTCGACCTGGAGGTGAAGGAGTCACCGCAAGTCGAACTCCTACTATTGAAGCCCCACAGTGTTGCTCTCTAACAGCCCAGCGAATGTGAACAAACCCCAGACCTCATTAGGCAGAGGACTTGTGGCTGTGGGCTGTGCAGCAGCTGTGCTTGTCAGTGCACAGACAGATGGGATGCCATATTTTAATGGAGAGCTCTGTCTCTCTCTATCCAGACTTTATTGAGTCTCTTGTGATAACAGAGAGTCTATTCAAGCAAGACCATACGTGCTGTTCCACATTTATCCCCCCGTATAAATCTTTGTTCGCGTACATTTCATTTAAACTTGGATCCATTTGCCTTTCATTTAAATGTGACCTGCAGCGACAGTAAATTGCTTTTATCTCCCAGATAGAAAATTGATCTGGGTGATGTACGGCAGATGTAATGTATACTGTACAAGGAGCCGTGCCTTCAGTGGCAGCTAGTTACAGTAACAGCTGGTGCCACTTGGAGAGCGAGTTGGCCTGATCTTCCCTTTGCTCGACGGATTTCATGACAGGATACGTTTATATTAATAGTTTGATGAGCCGGTTTTAATGAGTCATATTTTTTGTCAATTGCTGTGTAAAAAGAGGAAAAAAGTGGAGCAATGATGGAATCCAAAGGTCACTTTTATTTAATTCATTGTGAATAAATTCAATACCGTCACTCTGACAGTACTAGAAACAGGTGATAACACAGAGAACAGACCACACAAACACATGCCCACAGACACCCTGGATGACTTTGTTTTGGGTGGACGATGAGGTCAAAGTGGGCTCCGGTCATCAGCTCCAACCGCTCGTCCGTACAAACCTAAATATCAGTTCATTTGTGCACTTACATGAAGTCGACATTATTTAATACTTTTTTAAAAAAATCCAAATACTGTAACATAATACCTTATATATCAGCTTTAGCAGCACTATAGTTCAGTGAATAGGTCACACACTCACACGCACTCCAACCACACTTCAAGGATTTCCCTTCAGAGAAGCGTTCGCACGCCGTGCATTTTGCAATATCGCACTTGCAGCCACTCAGAACGCTCTCCTGATCAAACACTTCATGATAAGCAGATTAACACCATTTACAGCAGCATCAGCTTTAAAATCAAAGTTTGATGAACTGCCGACAGCAGGACAAAAATAATGCTGTTTTCAGCTGGTGTAGCCATTAGCTTAATCCTGCTAATTTCCTAATTGCCTCGAGGGTGTTTTAATGCTCTGAATTTACCCAGAGGTCACCCCTATACCTTTAGAATATAAACTGGAAAACAGGCCTCTCCTTTGTAGAAACGCTCTCTTTCTGCTACCGACAGAGTCCAGTGAATATCTCAACCCAGAGTCATGGAATGTTTCTAGTACTATTTACAGATTCACATACTTATAACTGCATGGCTACGTACAAGCTCCTCTAGTTTCATACGGGCCTACTTGTAGTCAGCGTTCGTGGATCACAGTGTTCGGGGCTACGTTGAGTAACAGTCTTCTTCATGGTCGAGTGGTTGCTTCTATTTGTGAACTTTTGTGTGTGTTCGTCTACGACAGCACGGTGAGCGTGACGGTTCCTTTGGTCCTTTTCAGGATGCCGACAGCTTCCTCGTGAGTGACGCCCTCCAGGGTTTGCCCGTTGACCGCCATGATCTGGTCTCCTCGCTTCAGACGGCCGTCCTCTGCTGCCGCGCCCTGAAGTCACAAATGAGTAAGTAGAGCTCTTATTAACACCACGATGATTCTGCAAAGATAGGTAGTTGATGCCAACCCGGCTTACCTTTCCGAACACGGTTTTAACATAAATTGGCAAGTCTCCATGCGGGCTGCCGTAGCCTCCGACGATACTGAAACCCAATCCGTCTGGTCCTCGCTCAAGAGTGATGGTCTTATACTGAGGTGGGCTGAAGGAAGGACACAAACACTTAGGGACTCGAATAAGTTTTACAAAAATCAATAAAAACATGTCATCTGCCCTCTTTAGCTCCATGAATGATCTCCCTACAACCCCCCTAACAGACTAACAGTATAGAGGCAAGATGGGTGTTACCACCAGGGACGTCCTGATTGGATCTTAAAGCCCATTTCTTCGTTTACATCCACAGTCTCTCCAATCTAAGCTGCTGAAGCTTCTAACTCCTTTGGGGAAGTCACAGGTGTCTTGGTGGCCATTCTCAAGAGTCTCCTCCTTGTACCATTGAATCATGCGCCATATTCCTTCCATCTCCTAACGATAGATTTAACGGTACTCCAAGGGATATTCAGTGACTTCTTGGAGGGTTCTTTTATTTTTGATGGCGTCATTATGGTCAGGACGGATTTACTAGTGACTGGACCTTCCAGATGTCGTGAACACTTATGCAATCACTTATTTTACAATTATAATATTTAATTCATTGGCAGTACTTTGTAGAAATCTGTTTTCACGTTGAGATGAAAGAGTTTTTTTGAACCGACCACATCGGTATCGGCCGATATCAGTGTGTTTTCCGATATATCTGTATTGGTCCGATGAACATATTTAGCCGTGAAAAACCGCTGATAGCCAACATTAGCGCCTTGTTTCTACATTTGATATTGCTGCTGTTTCACAGATGTTTTTCCTTAAATGGTCCTGGACTTAAACGTTAAATAAAATATGTTAAAATATGTTTTACTTTTGTAATAAAGAAGACTATGTGGTTTAATTTGGGCTTCTTATGAATAGTTTACATGTTCTCCCAGTGCTTACTTATACTCATTTTCCTGTGAATCTTCTTTTTCTTTTTTATTTAACAAAAATTGAATATCGACATCGGTAATATCGGTTATCGTCGATATCAGAAATCTAAATATCAGATTTTGGTATCGGCCAGAAATTTTAATATCATGCATCACTAGTTTTTTTTTTTTTTTGTAAATTCTTGTCAAAAATTAAATTGACGATTAATCAACGTTTAAAGAAATAAAAGGGGAAATCTTCCAACGAAGGTTTATTCTTTGTACTTTCAACAACTTTAATCTACCTTAAGTGGATATTCTCTTGGGAACTGGTATCTGATTGGGATTCAGTTTCATCAGATACTATTAAAAGAACCAGACTGGGTTGGGGGTAAAGAAAACGTGACACACTTAACCACAACACAGCTTGTTGTTCTTGTAACAGGAGCTTTGTACCCACCCGAGGTCATCCTGGAAGATGCAGCTGGGCGTCAGGCCCCCGGCGGCCTGCTCCTGAGACGGCCCCGTCACGGTGGTGTCGCCGCCCGCCACCACCTGCAGGTGCGTGATCAGACACACGAACACTGTTACTGTACGGTAGACCGGCTTTACTGCCGAGATAAAGACTGATAGCGAGGTGGCAGCGCGGGAAGAGCGTTTTATGGCACTTCAAAGCCTGCCGCCGCCACCCTCCGACTCGTCTTTTCAGGTGAAAACTTTGTACGCAGATAAAGGAGGGGATACGGTGATTATCTCGCTGTCTGCGGGTTTATCTAACGGGAACACGGAGGCTGACAGAACAAGTGCATGGGTGTGCGTGGTGGGAGACCTGCAGCTGTATTGTGCCGGTGGCGTTCTTGAGCAGAGTGACAGCCTGCGAGTGGCTCATGCCTTCAGCCGAAGTTCCACATATGCTGACAATTCGGTCCCCGATCTGGAAAAATCAGAAGAGTGCACATGAGGAAAAAAAGCGGTGAAGCTTTCACACTTTCCAAGAAAAGTTTGGATATTTCTGAAGCAGCTCTTCAATGTGCTACTTTTACTGGCTGAATTTCTATAGTTTCAGAGCAGGACGCCGGCTAATGTCGTCTGCAGATTTCATTCATGACGAGACACAAAAGCAAAACTATTCCTACGTTCACTTCATTACGTCCGGCTCTCATTTGGTATTCTGTTAATCATTCAGGATTCCCTCTATTCATTTCAATGAGCCCCTCTGTAGGCTTAATGACCTTAATGCAGGAGTGGGAGATTTATTATCCGTGTTAGCAAAGGCTATTGTTCTCCTCCAGTCTGAGGCAAACAGAGTTACAATTGTCAGTTTCTATGTGAAGGTCACTGCGAAAGGCTGCTGGCTCTTGACCTTTGGGGGCTTTTGAGATTTACCAGCTGAGAAAAGGGAGTAGGAGTGAGACCTCTGTAAATGACTGAGATCCACATTAAAGCCCACACAAGAATTAGAGGTATGTAAACTCGTTTCGTATTCTGCCGAAGGCCAAATACTGAGAGGGAGGTTGTTGATGTTGCACCTTGAGCTTTTGAGTCTGAGCGGCGAGGCCGACCGGATTCATCATGGCGATGAAGATGGGTATGTCGCCCAGAGGACTGCCCACCCCGCCTGCTATGCTGATACCCAGAGAGTCATTGGGGCCTTTAGTGAACTCCACCGTCCTGGTGTCCTGATGCTCCGGAGCTGCGAGGACGTAAACGCATTGTTACGATGGATCGCTGCACATTTTCTGATATGCCTCACAGATGAACTGTGTTGTGGCTGCAATCTTCCGGCACTTACGTTCCTGACTTCTGCTGAGTTTGTCAGGGTCGCCGGGAAGGTTTCCAGCGTCTGCACATGACTGATAGGCCGCCTTGGAGCTGCCTGTTTCACTCATCTGAAACAAAGGCATTCTGAGCATTTAGTTTCTTTTCCCCCCAAGGACTAGATAAGAGCCGTTTCTGTTCGACTTTAAACACATCCTTGATAGATGTTAAATGAGCGGTAAATTACCTGACTGCTTTGAGACATCCTTCTTTCAGAGTGGAAGGGACCTGCCTTAAACCTCCCCACCTCCATCTTTATAGGCCCCACGCAGCACTACAACAGGAGGAAGACACTGTTTGTCATTTAGTTGTCCTGCAAAGGTTCACCCACAAACACACCGCTTGGTGTTTAGTATTTATCAGAGCCACAAACAGGGAAAAACTTTCCAAAGGTCCTTTGTGTTTGATATTTCATCAAAGTCACTTTAGTTTGCATGTTTGATTTAAAAAATTCTCAGAAAATTAGCCATTTGCTTTAACAGATAAAAAAAAAAAGAAGCCAACAAAACAATAAAATAAATTACAAAAATAAATGATTTCTTTAACCAGATTTTAAAAAAATGAACCAGAAAAATAAATAAATAAACCATCAAAGAATAAAATTAAATAAATTACAAAAACAAATGATTGCTTTAACCAGATTCAAAACGAAACCTTTAAAAAATCCAAAAATAAAATAAAATGAATTTAAAAATAAATAAATAAATGATTGGTTTAACCAGATTCAAAAAGAGACCTGAAAAAAAAAATAAATAAATAAAATGAATTTAAAAATAAATGAATAAACAATTGTTTTTACCTGATTTTAAAAAGAAACCTGTTTTTTAAGTTTGCTTAAGAGATTAATTTAAAAAAATCTAAATTGTGTGCTCAAACCAATTTTAAAAAATAAAACAAAAAAATGTAACTATTTGTCTTAATCATTTTTTAAAAGCACAAAGTAATTTGAATTATTTTTTATTCTAATTTTTATATTCAAAAAATAAACAAAAAATAAATTTTGTGCTTTAACCAATTTCAAAAAATAAACCATATTACATTCAAAGAATGAAACTAATTTAAAGACCAAAAAAATGCTTTTACCAGATTTTTAAAAAAAAACACAAACAAGTGAAGTTTGTTTTAGTCACAAGACCAAACTTTTCAGACTTTTCGGCTGAACTGCAGGCTGTGTTTAGATCAAATTGAAAATGTTTGTAGTAAAGGGACATTTTTTACAGTACTGGCAGCACATGTGGGCAAAGCTGATTTCAGGGTCTTTTAATCTTGTAAAATCAGGAACATGAGAAATTCAGCTCTATTTCTTTGTCTTTTTTATGATTTATAGCATTATAACTCTTGTCATACTGCAGAGGAGACATCTTTGACTTCCCTCTACTTCTAGTCATGGTTGTTCTGTTTCCATAGAAGTGATAAATGAGCCTACAGTGAGTTTAAATGTGACAGTAGTGAAGAATGCTGAGGGCTAAAGCAGATGTTTCACTGATGTCCACCGGGGCAGGAATACCTTGAGCAGCGCGGCCACGGCCTCCTGAGTGGCCGAGCGGACGTCCTCGCCGTTGACTGACAGGATCTGGTCGCCCTGCATCAGCCGGCCGTCGGTATCCACCAAGCCTCCTTTCACGATATCGGACACGAACACGCCTGTGTCGTTCCTGGCAAGGAAAGGTGGGAAGACAAGACATGATGGCAGAAATGAAACATCTATCACTGCCGAGATCCCACTGATTTCTCCTCCGCGGGTGAGCGTGTCGTCCTCCAGAGTTCTGCTTCTTACCTTGTTATTGTTGATGCACTATTGATCCGGCAATTTTTGCAAAGGAACTCTGCAGAAGTTTGTGAAAAACCCTCACAAACAGCTTGACTAATGGAACATTTCATAGCAGAGATCCTTTGTGCGTGCTTCTGACGATTTGACTAAATCAAGAGTTGTGCGGCTGCAGTTTCTGGTCAAACTCTTGTGTTTTGCCGCGGCGTGCACGGATGGGCTCTTTTGAAAACACAACTCGCAAGGAGATAAGATTAAGTCGGCTCCTTTTGTTGTCGAATGCACATCTCCGCTGTGGACTTTGCATATCTAAAGTGCCAATCTCCACGTGGATAAAAAAAAAAAAGCAGAAGCTGTGAAGCAACTCGATCCCGCTCTATCCGCCGTGCCAGAGATACTTGGCTGTCAACTCCTTCACCACTAACTGCTAGCTTGCACTTTCCTTTTCAGTTTTAGGTTGTCTGTGTTACTGTCTTTTCCATCCTATTGAGCATTTTAGTTGTTTTTTTTTTCCCACTTGTGTATCAAAACCACAGACACGGAGGCAGAGACGTACGGCTAAATTAAAACTTGATCCGCCTGCTGCTGCTGCTGCTTGGCCCTTTAACCTCTTACTGTATTTTGGAACTAAATACTTTCAGCATCTATGATAAAAACAGATGCAAACACATGTGCAGAGGCCGTTTCCACTCCTCACACTGTAGTAGAACAGCAGCCCTTTTCCCACACTGATGCGTAAACACTCTCCCACAATAGCAGCCCGAGTTGACTTTATGGGTAAAGCGGTCCACAATTTGCCAGCTCACATCCGACTAAAGCCTCCTCTGCTGATCTAGTGCGACCAGAAATAGCTCCGGTTGTACGGCGGAGTCGATGCTGACTCACTTTGGCAGTGACGTGGATCCAGTCAGGCGGGCGAACCGTTCAATTACAAAATCGGATACGAGAGCTATCATTTAGGCGTGATGCGTTCGAGCGAGGTATGAGAACGCGGGACGTTCCTGCCTCCGTGCTGCTCTGATTCTCCAGCTCGGGGCTGTTTTTGCAGCTCTAATGGCACCTGTGACCCACAGCGAGGAGAGAAATATCTATTTCCAGCAGGTGCCGTGTGGGATTTTCTCTGAATCTACATGCAAACACCAAACACAGAAACTTTATTTATACCCAGTTATAGTGAGGAATCCATGAGGGGGAAAGATGGTAAAATCATCTCATGACTACATTTGGCTTTAGATTTATTAGTCAAACTTGTTTTCTGAATGCTGTTCTCTATTTGTAACTTCCACTACAGCGTATTCAAACGTACCCTCTAGACCTATAATCTAATTTAGTTTAATAATTAGTTACCTCTGTTTCCGTGATCTGCATTGAAAAATAGAAACAATACAATTACTAGCTATATTTTTATTGTCTCAGCAGTGAAAATCTACTATTGTGTTGTTCCAGCTACTTAAAAACAACTCTATTAATGTTTCTATGCGTTTTTAATCTCTACTCATGTCTACTTATCTCTATTTTTAAGCCAAAATATTATGCTAAACTCTCTTTGTGACCTACTTGCGAAGCAGCGCCTTAATGAAAAAGCTCCTTTCCAGCTGTTTGCATATGTAAAAGCTCGTCCCAGCGAATCCCCCGCCGTACATTAATCAGAGCCTGCTATGCGTTAAGCGGCGGCGCTAGCGTTAACTCTGCCCTCACCTCCTCCCCACGATGCTCAGGCCCAGGCCCTGGCCGGGCTTCTTGTGCAGCTCCACGGTGAACGAGTCCCACAGGTCCTCCTCCTTGTACTGGGCTTCGTCCCGGTACACCGTCAGCTGAACCTTCTGCGGCGTCTGTCGCAGCACGTTGATGGCTTCGTCGTGACTGGCCGCTCGCAGGTCGATGCCGTTCACCTGCGACAGATGAGTGTCCAACAGGTGACATATAGTTCGAGAAGGGATGCAAATCTTAAATAGAGCTTGTTTTATCTGATTGGTGTCAGCACAAACCTAAGCCAGGTCCTTTGGTTACATCCACTATTACACAGGTAAAGTGAGAACACCGTTTGTAGGAGAACACTGAGGATGCAAATTTTCAGTCTTCAATAAAAGTCCATCCATCCGTTATCTATACACCTTAATCCTCACTAGGGTCATGGTGGGCTGGAGTCTATCCCAGCTGACTCAGGGTGAAGGCAGGAGACACCCTGGACAGGTCACCAGTCTATCACAGGGCTACACTTAGAGACAGACAACCAAGCACACTCACATTCACACCTACGGACAATTTACAATCACCAATTAACCTCTACATGCTTTTGGACTGTGGGAGAGAACCCACGCTTCACAGGGAGAACATGGAGACTCCACGCAGAAAGATCCTGGGTGTCCTCGCCGGGACGCGAACCTTCTTGCTACCAACTGCGCCACCTTGCAGCCCCCAGGTAAAAGTCGATAATGCAAACTGAACACAGTGGGCCTTTGTCTTGTGCTAAAATCGCTGTTTTTCAGCTGCTAGATTTGTCACTGGAATACAGAAACATCCTCTTAGTTGATCTCAGCTTGTCTCAGCAGCTCTGAGCTCTACCTTATGGTGCTTTTTTGGTGTGGTTATGCAACTATTCTTGTTCTTTAGCGCTCTATGCAGTGTGTTTTATTCCGTTTTTGTTTTCTCTCTGAACCTTTCCACTAGTCTTGTGCTTAATATTTTATTATTTTGGATACGCTCTTTGCAATCTCAACCAGGTTTACTGTGCAGTGACATTAGAGGCATCTACATGAGCTCAGAGGTCATGAAGCGTCACTGAAGTCGTTGTCATGGTGTCCACAGCTAGCTAAATTCACACAATACTGTCCAACATGCATGTCGTCCGAGTTACCGCCTCCTCTGGTTGCTACAGTATCAAACAGGAAGTGGCCCTACAATACATCCCAGTGAGGTTCGTGACCTCCTACGTTGCATTAAGGAACAGCTTTGATGCAGAAATGCGTTTTTTCCTGATGCACTGCAGAGCTAACTGCATATGCGTTCATTTTATCACCTTTAATGTCCTTCAAGTGTGCATCATCTCAGAAAAAGGTGTCAGATTGAGACTTGATATCACCAAATGGATCGAACTTGATCGAGACGTTCCTCGATTTAAAATTGTTCTTCGTCAGCGGAAAGAAAAAAAAAGACGTTTGCAAATCTCCTCTTGAGACTTTCTGGAAAGCGGCAAAGCATCAGTCTGCTATCCCTGATGTAAAGTAATGGCAGCGGAGGGCTATAAAAGTGCTAATTTAATGCTAAAACAGAAATTTCCAGAAGCAAACTGCTGAGATATTTGGAAACTAGATTATGATATCTGAACGCTGGAGTTTAACTACAGGAAAACCTTCCCACAACGCTCCGGTCAGTCGGAGGATTGATGTGCAGCTTTTCTACCACATTAAAGAGGAGGAGGAGGAGGAGGAGGTAGGGGGGAAATACCACATTAGCTTCTCACCATGGACATGCAAAAGGACTTTTCCCATAGCAGCTAATGGCACCGCTGGCGAGTGGGAAAGCCGCTCTTTTCACTTTTCCTCCCCTGACCTTATTTTTTCCAAACACAAGACTCGGGGACAGAAATAAATAGCGGAGGGCAATCAAGTCATCACGCCTTTGAATTCAGGTCCGACCCGATCGAACTACAATGCCTGGACTCCACCCCTGCCCTCCCTGGGTGACAAAGCGCGAGGTCAAACGGAGGGCAAATCCAAGTTGAGCTCCGGCGCTTAACTTGTCAATGCATGTAATGCGTACAGGATTTGGCCGACTTTTCCTTAATTATCGCTCTAAATCGCTTCATTCTTCGGTGCGTTGTCAGCAGAAAGCAGTCTGGTTTTAAGTGTTCTAGCTTTTTTCTCCTCGTCATTAATAACCTGCCTTCTATTTGAGACGTACATCAACTTATATCAAACTTAGAAACCTGAGCCTTGATGTTCCTCGGGCTTTTTTCTTTTTGTACAATCTAGGTCATACGTGACGCCCATTAGGCTGCAACACACCTCAAGGATTTGGTCTCCTGCCCACAGTCTGCCATCTTTGGAGGCTGCCCCTTCTTCATAAACTTCATGGATGATGATAGCCCCCTTGGAGGAAGAGAAAAAAAAGAAGAAGTGAGAATAACCACATGATTCTGTTTTCTTTTTTTTAAGTACATCACATTCTTTCTGTTTCGCCCTGCAGTGTGAGTGTGTTTTCTCTGTATGAGTGTCATTTGGGGTCCAGAGGTTACATTCCAGGGCTGGATATTGTCTGCTGTGGCCGACACCAGACAAAGAGCTGCTCCCCCAAGCCTGACTGAGCAGAAAGAATGGATGGCCTGAGAGGACGACGACGGCAGCAGGAGGAGGAGGAGGAGGAGGAAGGCTGTGACAACATCATTTCCTACATTCCTGAGCCGCCACGGCTATTTCAAACCTGAGTTACGCTACCACCAAGGGCTCTCGGTGGGTGGCATCGTCGGTGGGAACTGACAAGCACCGACAGTCACGTACCGGTAAAATACTTAATTTTTTTCATTTGTGTCGCTAAATCCTACAAATCCCCAGAAAAGTAACTCGAATTTAAGGATGTTTCCACTTATTAGCGCCTCATTAGCGGACGTCCTCTTTCTGATTCCTACCAGCAGGGTGTCGCAGCCTCCCACGATGCTCAGGCCCAGGCCCGTGCGGCCCTTGGAGATGTCGATGGTGGTCTCGCAGCCGGGGATGATGGGGCAGGTGGCCGGATCGCAGGCCAGAGTGGACGGGGTGGACGAGCGGCTGAGGCCTGCAGCGGAGTCGCAAAAGGGAAGCAGGTGGTTACGGAGGGAAAATGTCTGTTGAGTTAACGCCGATCTCGTGATCTGAGCGGACTCACTGGTGACGACTTCTGCCTCCGGCTGGCTCATGGCAGCCAGGGCGGCGCTGGGCGTGCTGGGCGGACCGGTGAGGAGTCCATCCGAGCAACCCCTGTCCTGGCAGGTCGACTGGGGAGAGGAGAGGGAGGAGGCGATCTCATTTGTAGAGAAGGTTAGCTTCACTGGACCTTTGGCTGTTCTCAGTAGAGAATTGACCTAAAAGACATCGGAATAGCTAATCAGACGTGTTGTTTTATAACTAGTCCTACCGCTAGCATTTCTGAAGTGATAAATTAGGTTTATTTTAGGGTCACTGTACCTTATCAGCAGAGTATCCCAGCACCGATTCACCGTTCACAGCCAAGAGTTTGTCCCCTGGTTGCATGCAGCCCTCCTGCACACAGCGCATCACAGCGTCGATTAGCAAAGTAAAAGCACAAATTACAGTAACATGCAGCTTTTCTATGCAGAAGGCACAAGGTTGATGGGTTTTTTAAGATCTGATACCAAACAACTGCAAGAAAAATTTAGAATAACACAAATGCCGACACAAAACTCGACATTACGTAAGACCACAGAGCAGTGACTGAAGATATTAAAAGGCGCCTGCATCAGTTAATAGCACACTTTAAATGTGTTTATTTTATTGGAAGAAAGCTGAATATTGGCTCTGATCATTGATGGATTCCTGCTCAGCACTACCTACTTTGCCAGTGTGTCCTGTCACTTCAGATATACTCTGAATCTCCACCCCGGCGTCCGTGTTGCCGTCAACAAAAGTGATGCCAAGTCCTCCGTCCTCCTGCAGGAAAACACCGTCATTAGGATGCGGTTCTAATATAAACCGTCTGAACAACGGCAAAAACACGCAGGCTGACCCGTGTGGCTTCGTTCCACGGCTCTGTGCTAAATAATGGAGCTAACGAAATCAAGTACTTCTGACAACAATTTCCCCCCAGAGAGATAATTAGTTCCAGCTTTACTTTGCATCCTTCCTACCTCTGATCTTTTGTTCCAAGAACGGGCTTTCTGGGTTTGTGTCTTCATATCAGAGAGCTGCCCGAGTGCTGCAGCGTTGACACCGGCGCCTCCTGTTGCCTGATGCACTCTGGACCCCCACAGTGGGGTTCCTGTCTACGTGTCTACGAGCTTTTAAAGCAAAGTTTAACTCCCCTTCTCTCTTTCACGCATTAGGTGTCAAACTCGTGTCTTTTTAAAGGCCCCATATGGTGACGATCCATTTTTAATTGTGTTTTGTGGTTGTTACATATAAACTCGGAGGTGTAATGTAAAAGCTGTTAAGATAAGAAGACTTCTGTCGCTCCTCAACGAGATCGACTCCCGGCTTTACAAGCCAGTTAGAGTTTTACTGTGTTCACCAGAAGTCATCCCGCGCAGACTTTTTATAATCCCGCCACCTCACATCTTACATTTGGAAGGAGCAGCTGCCTCACAGTCCGGCGGGTTTATTTACTTTCTAAAGCTGCTTCTGCGAACTCTGAAAACATCAAAAGTAATGTTCCACCGTTGGCTGCAAGAGTGAACACAAGAGTCTTCGTGCACTCCCAACGCCTGAGGAACCGAAGACCAAGTGGATTCATTTTGTTCTTAGTTGCAGTGAAATCTTTATTGCTAGCACGTGAAGTGGCTAATGTTAGCATTAGCTCTGAAGGTATGCCCACAAGTCCAAGCTCTGTGGAAACTGAGGGACATTCAGAGACGGCGGAAACTTTAGCTTCAACTAAAAACGAAGACCATGATCGAAATAAATCTTCCACCGTTGGCTGTAAGAGTGAACACAAGAGTCTTCGTGCACTCCCAACGCCTGAGGAACCGAAGACCAAGTGGTTTCACTTTATTCTTGGTTGCAGCAAAATCTTTATTGCTCGCACGTAATGTGGCTAATGTTAGCATTGGCTTTGACGGTTTGCCCACTAATCTGAGCTCTGTGGAAACTGAGGGACATTTGGAGACGATGGAAACTTTAGCTTAAACTAAAACGAATACCACGATCGAAACAAATGTTCCACCGTTGGCTGCAAGAGTGAACACAAGTGCACTCCCAACATCTGAAGAACCGAAGACCAAGTGGATTCATTTTGTTCTTAGTTGCAGCGAAATCTTTATTGCTAGCACGTGATGTGGCTAACGTTAGCATTCGCTTTGACGGTTTGCCCACTTATCTGGGCTCTGTGGAAACTGAGGGACATTCGGAGACGACAGAAACTTTAGCTTGAACTAAAAACGAAGACCACGATCAAAACAAATGTTCAACCGTTGGCTGCAAGAGTGAACACAAGAGTCTTTGTGCACTCCCAGCGTCTGAGGAACCAAAGACCTAGCGCAACATTTCCATGTAAAATGATCACTCGGAGAGAACGATAGCGGCAATAGGGAGTCTCAGTATCTCAAACACTCGTCTACGTTAGCTGCCATGCTGTCGATGTAAGACATAGAGAGAGTCTTCTTCCTGAAGACGGCAGCATTTAAGACATAACACAGTCATGGTAAAACTATCGTCACAGTATTGTGAGCTGAAAATTAAAAAAAAAAAAAACACATTCAAACTCACTGAAAACCTTTAAAGAGCCACTTCACTCCAGATAACATGTTTTGCCACTTAACCCTTCTAGTAACCGTCCTCGTGCGGAGTTGGTTTATTCTCTGAGCTTGTGAGAGATCCTCTGTTGAGACTTCCACTCCGGCATTGAATGAGCGCTTCATTCTCAAAGGATCAAACAATGACCTTTGAAAAACTCCGCGTCTACTTTCCGCGCCGCTCGAAAAGTAGACCACACAAAGGGTAAAAAAAAAAAAAAAATCTGCTCCTTTTTTTATTTATTATCTGAGTGAACTGAACCTTCAAGTCCCTTTGGAACTCCTTCTTCTCTCCATTCACTCACTGTTTTGTTTACTCCAACCTTTTATTTCACAATTTTCGGTCTCTTTTCTCCGCCTTGGCAGCTTGTCAAACTTCACTGCTCCTGTGTGCTCCCTGTCTGTCATTCCCTTTCATTCCCCATTGGGCTTCTTTTAGTTTTTTTCCTCTTTTCTTTTCTCGTGTACACCTCCCTCATTACTGCCTCCGACACTTTTCTTCTTATTAATGTCTTCATGTGCTAATTCAAAGGGACTGCCCCGAGACCTCACCTTCAGCTTGATGATGTGGTGAACGCTCGTGGAGGGATCGGCGTCGCCATTTGTCGTTTCTGGCTGCGAGGGGAAACAGACGGAGAGTAAATAAATCAAACCTGCCGGCCGGCTGGCTGGCTGGCTGGCTGGTGGGAGTACAGTACTGGTGTGCATCTGGGGTTTGTGGTTTTTTGGGTGTCTTCCAACCAGACACGGGATTTTTGGGAACTCCGGGACCACACAAAAGGCATACATGAAAACAATTCTAAATTACACAAGGGCGAGACGTGAAATTAATGGTTTTGTTTAAAGGCCGGTTGTGGAGCTTCGCCGTCTAATGGCGGCGTGACGTCGGCGGGGGAGCTTCTGCATGAGTTTTTGTATTTATGATCTGTACCTCGTGGGGCTCCGCTGCGTCTCCGTCGTGCTCCCTCACTGGTCCCACGGCCATCTGGTTCAGCGCCTCCGTGTTCCTGTTTGAAGAGTCGTAACTCAACGTTTGAAAAAAAAACACAAACAGCAGAAAAAGAAAGACAGGCGGCTTCTGTGCTTCGTGACAGCCGAGCGGTGATTTACACGAGCTGATCACAGTGTCTGTTTTCAGGGGTCAGGAACGGGATGCGAGCTAAGTGGGGGGTTAAGTAGAGTGATCCCCGGCGGAGGATGAAGGAAGGTCAGAGGTCAAACGTGGCCGAGGCTGCGGTGAGACGTCGGCTGCTGTGTCATTACTCCACACTGCTCGTTAACGGCATAAAAACAGGAGTTGTTTTTGAACGGGTGTGTAGTGTTGATTTGGGTTGTTGGAAAATCGCTTCCCAGAGTCAGTTAATTTCTGATTTTTTTTTCCACCCCAAGTTTTTGGAACAACAGAAACATGACAGCACTTTTAAAACAAATAAATGTCAAGCTAAGAAACACTTTAATAAGAGCTAACAATAGTATTATAAATGCAGAATCTGTCAGGAGTCACTGCTTCACCATGATATGCAAACTTTTACTGAATTACAACAGCTCCCTCTAGTGGACGTTAGACAGCATTACAACGAACTTTTATAAGTTTACTTTTAATTCAAAGGATTGACATTTAGTAGCTGGGGAAAAAATACCTTCTTTCTGCCATCTATATATCTGTAGTGATATTAATGTAATGATTGAATCAGTCAAGATGATTTCGTAGCATCTGCAGACAAAGAGCAGTTTGTTTTTCACATGGCTGGTAAAGGCATCCGATTTTTCTTTTTTGCTTCCAGTTATAAATAATTTTGTGTTGCTGACTTAAGTGGTGAAACAAATTAGTTGTGTTGTCTTGCTTAGCTGCAAAAGTGCTTGTTTTTGGTCAACATCATGCTTTCTGAAGCCGAAATATTTATATTTTGCACCCAAATTTCCCTTTTTTTAGTGATTATTGCCTGTTAATGGCGTATTTTGCTGTGCACATGTGACGCCTGCATGTCAGCAAACTGTGCATCTTGTAAGTAAAGTTAAAAAACATGCTTCTAACACAGACTTCTATTGTGGATTTGCATGGAAAATGACAATGAGGCAAGTTTTGGTTTTATCGTGTAGCCCAACTAGCTGCAGAATCAAAGGAAATAATTCAGTTGTTCTACCTGATAAAGATGATTTTGACTCTGGACGGAGAGCTCTTGATGATGGACGATGCGTTCTGGTGGCTGTGGCCGTACAGCACTTGTCCGTTGATCTGGCAGTAAAATGAAACCATCGCTCAGAAATGCACCGGTTTAACTGTAGAACACTGAACTAAAACCTGCTCTCGGCTCACCTCCAGCAGCTCGTCGCCCACCACCATGCGCCCGTCCCTGCCGGCCGCCCCGTTGGGATCGATCCCCACCACGAACACGCTCATGCGGGACCGGTCCCTGTTGCCCGCCAGGCTCAGACCCAGGCCCGTCTTGCCTTTCTCCAGCTCGATCATGTGCAGGACGCCCGGGAGGCTGCCGTAGCGCCGGATCACGTTCTCTGGAGGACGCAGAGGAAGTTGCACGTAAGCCACAAACAAACACAAGTTCATGCAACGCTGCAGAGGGATCAGTGAGAGGCTCCAAAAAGTTGTCAGACGGCTGAATTTTCTATTTCGGTTTCACCTTCTATCTCTTTGTCTCAATCTCGCCTCTTTTGTTCTGGCTGCAGCCTCTCACGTCTCTGGTGTGTTAGATAGCCGCTGCTCAGACCGATGGGCTCCTGTTGTTCTGGGCTCCCTGCCACTGTTGAACCATCAGTCCTGCACTAATCTCCACAACTCACCTCCCCAGGCCCAACCTCATCAATCTTATTCCCGCAGGACGGGCTCTGTCTATCTCTGACACACACACACACTCACGCACACACTCTCTCCACAGTCCCAGGTGTTTGGAGGCTGGAAGTCTGTCCTTTATGCTGATTGCTCGCTCTCTTTGGGAGAACATCCTACATCCGACTTTCGGATGATAGCGGACTAATTGGGACACAGAGTCCTTCAGGGCTTTTTTTGCTGAGGTACAAGCACCTCAAGCATGTGAATCAGTGCACCTTTATTGCAGACTATTTATTGCAGGATGGATTTATGGGCAGGCGAGGCCACACGTGCAGCTAGGGGGACCTCTTGTGGCCGTGTGGTGTTACTGCACCAGATTGTTTATATTTATTAGGAGTAAATTCCAGGAGTATGTAAAGCAATTCTGTGTCTAGTACAGGTCACATGACCAGCAAGAGTGAACCTAAACCAACATCACAGAGAGTCATAATTTCAGACTGAAATTGAAGGTTGAACAATTTTGTTGTTATAGTAATTTCTGTGTCAGTTTTCTTTTAAATCACTTCTTAAACCCACTTCTTTTTTTTCTTCTTTTTTTTTTAAAGCTTGCTTTTATGTTATATTGTATATTTTTATCGTATAATGATTTTTTTTTTTTTACATTTCTTTTATTTTATTGCTCATTTTATCTCTGTTACCCTCTATTTATTTACTTCTTTAATTAGATTATTTACTATTACAACTACTATTATTATTTTTAGCCTTGTGTTTATGGTTTTATCCTCTATTTTCTTTTATTTTGCTTGTTTTTTCTTCTTCTCATAATTGGACATGACATTTTTAGTTCTTATGTTACATAATAAATACTTATTTACATATTTATTTACTATTATTGCTAATATTATTATTATTTCTAGGCATGTGTTTATGTTTTTACTCTCTATTTTCTTTTATTCCACTTGTTCTTTTCTCTTAATTAGACATGTTGTTTTTTTATATAATAAAATAGAGACTTATTTACATATTTATTTCATGTATTTACTATTATTTTCTAGCCTTGTGTTTAAAGTTTTACCCTCTGTTTTCTTGTACTCTACTCGTTCTCTCTCCTCACTTGGATGTGGCATTCCCAATTCTTTTATTATCTCATCTGGTGTTGTTGTTGTATTGATTTATTTTGAAAATCATGTTTAACTCTTGTTCCTCCACCTGGTTTCTCCTTCTTCTGTTTGGACCTTTTGTTGTTCTCTGCTCTTTTCCCTGTACATATTTTTTATTCTTCCTAATCAAACCTCCAACAAAAACAACACTCACTCCAGCTGTATCCAAACTCATCCTCCTCTTCCTCCTCTTCCTCCTCTTCCTCCTCCTCCTCCTCCACCACCACCACCTCCTTGTTCTCCTCCTCCACCGTCTCGGCAGGTCTGCCAGGAATCTCTGTCAGCGTGTCGGTATCAGTCTCTCCCACATGGGGCACCACTGGCAGGGGGAGGACGGTGCTGGTGGGAGACGTCTTTGCCGCTTCACGCTTCGCCAGCTGTCACGCCGCAGATGGAGTTGGCAAAACAGTGGATTAGTCGAAGGTAAAGAAGCGAGGGAAAGAAAAAAAAAGGTTTCATCACTGCGCTTAAGGCTTAAAATCAGGTTTACGGCAACAGGAAGGCAACACGAGAGCCGCTGATAAGAATCAACAGAAGGCGTATGGAAGTTCTGTACGCCGGGGGCTTTAATCAGAATCAGATGAAGAGGCTTTTAAGCTCAATCATGACGGATGTCATTATTTATCATCAAATTAGCACTTTTAATCAAACACACACCCAGCAGGTATTCATATGTGCACTTACCCAGCAACAAAGCACAACTCTGATTACTTCATTTGTCACATTTTTCAGTATAAAAGCTTCGAAGCGAGCATTGATTCTTTTAGTTTTTGCAGAAAAGCAAAGGACACATTTACCGACAGACAGGGGGAGCTGTTAGGGCTTGCAGCACATATATGCAAAAGAAAAGAAAGAGAGGGGGAAAGCTGCACACCACAGAGACCCACAAACCTTAAACGGGGTAGGAGTGAAAGGGTTAGTTGGGGAGAGGCGGAGGTAAAGTCTACTGTGACTGTCACCCTCCTACAGACAAGAGAGAAACAACTTTAGACGACAGACATCTGTTCAATTATCTTGGCTTTATTGTGAAAAGGCGTCTCTTGTATTCCAAACAGTGAAGAAGAGGCTGGGGGTGTAATTGGAAAAACACCAACCTTGTCCTTGCCGTCCCTGGTTGCTGCTCGCTCCTCGCCGGACTCCGTTATCGATGACTGTTGTGTTTAAGACAGACACGGAGGTAAATCACCGGACTCGGCGACAATAAGGGTTCCTAAATTGATTTAGGTAGCACATTCCCAACATCCACATCAGTGTCACCAGATAGTGGAAGATACCGGGACAGTAAAATATGAACCAGTGAGCGGCTACAGTGTGCCGCGTTACGATAAACCGTCTGCTTTTAAACGCCACCAACGACTTTTCTTCTCCCTTTAACTCCAAGCTTTGGCAAACCGAAGCGCTCGAACGTGCCAGAACATTGATGTGTTTAGTTGGATGGAGGGAAAAAAAAAAAAGGCAGCTCCACATGTCGGTCCAAGCTTGACCATTTCAGCTTAAAAGGCTTAAACTCTGGAATCTTGAAGTAAACAAACAAACAAACAAAAAGATGTTTTTTTTTTTTATGGTTCTCCAGTGTTTGTGTGTGTCGGCTGCCGACTGTCTAATCAAGTTGTCTTTTCTCAGGCTGGCAATGAGGCACTTGGGACAATGTTTGAGGGATAATTGGAAAAAATTGCCTTTCAAAGCTGGGGACAGGAGGAAAATATAAAGCACTTACGATAAAAGCCTCAAGTTTTTTTTCTTTTTTCGCTCGAACAGAGGGACGAAGCACAGACGGAGAAGTGAACATATGCTAGCAGACGAAGGAGATGAGAAGTGGGCGAAGAACATTAATACAAATGACAGCAGAGGTTTATCGTTTCAACCGACTATCTGGTGCACAGACTGAGAGGGATTTGCATGCAGCTTCTTACAGCTCAGTTTTCACGAGTCAAAGCAGTGACAGACACACCCAAACAGACAGACAGACAGACATGGGGGTAGGTTTTCTAACCTGAGGGAGGGCAGGCGCTAAGTAGGTTTGATTAGTGCAGCAAAGGCTCGACCCGCGGCGGCTATTTAGCTGCAGAAAGGGCAGGGGCGGCTTCTAAGAGCAACACAAGACCAAACAAAGCCCACAAACACCACGGTTATTAAATATGACAAAATTGAATCGGAGGCCATCGAGGAGAAAGGAAAAAAAAAAAAGGAAGAAAAGAGGAGAAGCACCTCGGGTTTAATTTAAAACGAATTGCCATTACGGCGGCGAGCGCCTTCCTCGAGGACAGCCGTTTCCTTTACATAAAGAAAAATCAAAGGGAGCCTCTTTCTCTGGAACAGTTTAGCAAAACGTTGCGGAGATTCCTCCGGGCTACCTCCAGATTATTCATTGCTTACAAGAGAGAAAAGGATCGGAGACTTAAAGGGGATGTTTTTAAAGCGCCGTCCAATCAGAAATTATGTTTTTGGTTTGCCAACTCAGGCCTCGTGCAGATTTCTCGCGCTACGATTCCACATACGAGTATTTTAGAAGCTAAAATTCTATTTTTTTAAATTTAATTAAGGCTGCAAGAGGTTCGATTATGCATTATTGATTTAACAGTTTATCAGCTACAGTAAAATCGTTTCAATAATTTCATCAGGATGAACTCGATCACAGCTAGCAGGTATTTCTGAGCCCAAAAAAAAAAACATCAAAGTTTATGCAGGAGAGACGCTATTAGGCTGCAACCTTTCTAATAATTCGGGTAAATAAAATACGGCAGTCTTGTTTTACTCTAGGACAGGATTTAAAGTGTTTAGAAAGTGATAAATTGAACTAATAAAATGATTTTCTCAACCAAACAGATGGCATATTTGGGTTGATCGTTATCTCCTGAACGCAGCCTTGTTCTCTCTCCTCCAGGACGACTTCAAATTACAGTTTTCTCAACAACCTCTGGTGGTAATTATCCATCCAGACTGTTTTTTTCTCGTGTGTGAAGGTTTTGTAGGTTTGCAGATGAATTTAATTTCATTTGTGGCTCTCAAAGCGATTTTAAAACAAGCATTTAAATTATCTTTTTTAGCATCACTGGCTATGAAAACGCAGCAGAACAGATCATCTGCAGGATTTACTGTCTTGCAATTTTTCTCCACTGATGAAGCAATTCACGGCAGAAATACGGATCTCTGTTGTATTAGAGAAATCTCCCCGACAAAAAAAAGTTGGCAACCCTGATATTGTGAGCTGAGCGGAGACAGCAATGACATTTCAAGAACCTCTGCGGTTAAATTGCATTAAGAATCTCGTCTGGATGCGTCGTAAATGTCAGCGTTGCACACCTCCGGAGCAGAGATTTTCTAAAAACATTCTCTGCCGCAATTGATTTTGCCACTTTGCTCGGCGTCTGATTAAAAACATCCTCGTGGCTCATGCCTCTGTTACCGTCAGAGTGCCGCGCGATTGAAAATAGACGGAACAGGACGTCGGCATATTAAAATAAGCCTTCAGTTCTTTTTCTCCCCCCCGAAGGAATCTCCCGTTCCACTTTGTCTTTATTTTACATAAACGCGCACATTACGTGTATATCAAAGTCAAAGACGCAGTTAAAAAGAAAGACTCGGCTAACAGTCTGACAGACAAAAAGAGAGACGAGGCAGGAGAGATAATGCAACCGAGATTAGGCGTGATGGATAGCTGATGCAATAGAAATGAGAGAGCCAGGAAAGAGAAAGACAGATTACCTGACATGTGCGATGTGGCATGCATGTGAAAGCGGTGCTGTGTTTCTCTTTGGCGGGCGACGGAGCTGGGCTATATGTCGACTCAGGCTGGGAAAAGCCATGCAGAAGAACAGAGATGCAGGTTTGAGGCAACTCATAATGTAAAGGACTAACTTGGCCTTAAAGGACGCAAGTTGACACAACTACTTTCTTTGACTAAATAATCATTCTCGTGTCTGCAGTAGGGATGAATCAAGTTTTCTTTGCCTGGAATCTGATCAGAGTCCCAATCCGATTCAAATTTTCTAGATAATACTTATATTTAAGTTATTAAAATCAATCTAAGCTGTTCTTTAATGTTATGAAGGCGATCACAAACTTTGTCGTAAAGCTGAAATGTCGTGTGGAGAGTATGTTGACTCCACAAGCTCCAAAAGATGGCAAAAACCTACATTTTTTTACACTTATGTCAGTTGTTGTCGATTAGCTGCAGTACCTGGTTGCGCCACCAGGTGGAGCCTCCTAGTGTTTGATGCTGTAGCGGCCAAAGGAGGCATCACTCAGATTATGGCTGGTTTCATACATGCAGGAATAGAGCACTTTAGGAGTTTAGCTAGCAACTGGCCACCATGACAAAGACTTCTATGAGCCGTAGTACCTGGTTGTGCCACCAGGTGGAGCTTAGCAACGACATTAGGTCACTCAAGCTACAGGCAGTTCAGCACTGCGGAGGTTTAGCTAGCAACAACCACCATGACAAAGACTTCTGTGATACTTAATGAGCTAGATTATCCGTAGTACCTGGTTTTGCCACCAGGTGGAGCCCATTAGCAGCCAGAGGAGGCATCGCTCAGATTATGGGTGATTTCATATATGCAGGAATAGAGCACTCTAGGAGTTTAGCTCGCCACTGGCCACCATCACAACGACTTCTGTGATGCTTAATGAGCTAGATTAGCCGTAGTACCTGGTTTTGCCACCAGGTGGAGATGACTTTGTACTGTTTGATAATGTGGCGATAATGGAGGTCACTCAGACTACAGGCAGTTCAGCATTATGGACGGTTTAGCTAGCAACAGGCACCATGACAAAGACTAAAACAACAACCTCCGACCAGAACTGATATATTTTATGTAGCATATCCTGTCACGATTGTAGCTTTCCCTCTTTAACGCTAGCCGATGTAAACCAGTCGACTCTGATTTATGACACTGGCTTGTGACATCCCTGCTCTGCTTGTTTAAATAAAAGCTACAGCCAAGACAAGGCTAGCTTAGCTTAGCATCAAGACAAGACATGGGAAGACACCTGGCCTGGTTTTGCCCAAACTCCACTGTGCTCATGAGTTAGCATTAGAGGTACAAGTTGGAGGATTTAGCTTCCCTTGTCCAGACCCGAATTAGCAGTTTTACCCTTGTTTCCAGTCATTATGCTAATTTTAGCTTACCCTTCATCTTAATGGTATCAATTTTCCCACTTAACTGTCATCCAAAAACTAAAAAGCATGCTTTAACGCTGACAAATTAAGCTGGTCTCTTGCTCTTTTTATTGGAATACTGTGACACTCAGCTAGCCAAACCTGCATTAGCAGATTTTTTGGCAACATGGCTGAGCTGTAAAAAAAAAAAAATGCTTCCAATGTTGACATATTGTCCTCTTCCTGCCCGTGCTGCTTTAGATTATGAGTTGCTTAATGAGAAACCAGAACGTTAGTGGGAAGCATGTCGCAGATAACAATGCATGAAAAAGTGATTGACTACGAGAGATGTGACGCTGGAGCCGAGCCGGTCGCCGGCCCAGCAGGAGGCTACTTAGCTATGCTTTAAAGGCCTGAGGGCACTTTCAAACAACAAAAGATGTTGTTGATATGGTGATTTTCAATGAGTGTCGCTCTTAAAGGTTAAAACGTACTAATATATTTAATATGCCGCGCAGGGTTTGTTGTCCCTCTCATGAAAGATTTCAAAACCCCTTTCAACATTCAAAGAACCCCGACACGACGGACGGGGGCTTGTATATTGTACGCTCTGGCTTTTGAAAGTGCCCTAAATGGCCTGTGCTGATGCACTCAACTTTTACATGAGGTGAAAGAGAAGCCACAGAGTGAGGATGACCTTTATGTAACGAGCTAGTTGCTAATAGGGGCTTGAGTCCATTATGAGGACTTACCCGGGGTCTGTGGATAATGCTCTGCACCAGGAAGGACACTGGGTTTCCTGCCCGGCGTATGGCCTCCACTGCCTCCTCGTGACTGGCGTCTCTCAGGTCCACGCCGTCCACCTGGAAAACAGTCATCAGATTACGTAAAACTGGTCCAAATCTGGCAGCAAGGATGCCAGAAAAAATACACTAAAGACACGGTATAATGTCCAAAAACTGAAAACTGTAAAATATATTTATTTTCTAGCTTAAATACTGCAAAATGTGTAATTCAATGATCATACATTGAAAAAGAACGAATTACTATTTGTGAAAATACTGATTTGTGGTGTTGACGTGATGCACAGCTTTGGTGGGGTTGTTTTGGTGGTTTTTTTATGGTCAACATGCAAATTAATAAGTTGTTTTTCTGTGGTTTAACTTGATATTATCTGGAATTTAAGAAGACGGGAAATCTGTAAAATAACAGTAATACATTTATTTTATTTTATTATTTTATTATTTACATATACCATTTTCAATCCTTAATGAAATATAATTTTTTCTATAATTTTTCTTTCTAAACAATGGAAAATATATTTGAAATATTTTTTTGCTGATTTTAATGCAGTAAAAACTGTATTTCTAATGTCACATGTAAAAAAAAAAAATTATAAATCATTTTAAAAATCCAGACTTTTACATTATGCACATTTCATATATTTATTATATACATATTAATAGTTTTTTTTAAAATGTGCTTTTACTCAATTTTATTTGTAATTTAACAAAACGGCTGCCAAAATGATTGACCAATTTTTCAATCCTTGATATACACTTCCTTTTTTTTTATTGATCTCTGATGGGAAATTGCTTTATACTATATTAATATAAAGGTAAAAAAAAATATTATAATAATACTACAAAAGCTGTAATTCTTAACTAAAAGCGTTAAATTGATTTTAATCGCTATTATCTGTCACACAGAAAACAGAGAAAATCAGTGAAGAAATAATTTTAAAAACAAACATGTTCAAGGTAAGTACAGATAAAAACATTAATGAAAAGTGATTATTTTTATTTACATTTTTAACAGTACCATTGATCTAAATTAGTTTTATTGGAGGATTTTGGATCACACTCCACAGCATCACAACAAACCTCACCAGCTCCGTGACCTTCCCTCACCTCTACAATCCTGTCTCCGGTCTTCAGGGTCCGGTTCTGTCCAGCTGGACTGTCCTCCAGGATGTGTTTGATAAAAATGCCCCTCATCACCTCCCCGTTGCTCAGCCGGCTGCCCATCCCTCGGCCTCCGACGATGCTGATCCCCAGAGACTTCCCCGGCTCTCTGAACAGCTCCACCCTGGATAGAAAGGTGCCGGTGTGTTTGCTCAGCTATTCATGATTTTCATTTCAAAGCTGTGCCGACTTTACACAAAATTGAGTCGGATGCTCGAATACAATGCGTTTGCACTCACTTCCTCGGTTGGTTCCAGCTGCCGTAAGAGGCGCTTTCTTCTCCTTCTCCATCTTCGCGCTCAGGGAGGTTGGGCACATCTCTAAAAAATAGAAAAGAGTGCACAAAAAATGGATTGACGCGATTGTATAGACACATTACTTTATGTTAACAGCTTCACTTAAGGGTGTAATTTGGGAGTTTCTGACAACACAACTATTCGCTCGCTGCATCCAAACATGTCGCGGCTACAAGGTGCATTTTTCTGACTGTACCTATAATCACAGGAGCTACTGCGGTTGTTGTGTAAGAGTGCGTACTTGGGAGCCGGAGCTGGAACCGGAGCCGCTTCGGAGAAAACTTCGTCTTTGGCTTGCTCGAGGCCGGCCTTGTACTCCTCCAGATACTCAGCGGGGACGTATGTTATTCTGAACACATGCACGTAAACACACACACACGTAGGAAATGAATCGACGGATGCTTTAAACACTTCACAGTCGCCGCATGTAGAGACTAGTGAACTATTACAACTACCTCCTTTTTAATTAGCAAAATAGCTTCTTTCATGTCTGCGTATTTACATTCAGGAGCTTGTTTTCTCTCACATTCGTGCACAACACCGACTGAACCCTCCACTTTCTCCCGATCAGCAGCCCAAGGTGAGACGTCAATAAATTATACATCAGCCCCTTGACATGTGACTGTTCCAAACAGGTGTTTGCCTTCATAAACGTCGGAGCAAATCAAGACTTCTTTCAGCGTCTGATGAGCAAAATTTTGAAGGATCCATTACATCTATTATTAATTGGGAGAGCAGACGACTAATTCGCTTTAAGAGGAAAAAAAAAAAAAAAAGATGGCTGACAAATCTGACACCCACTTACAAACCCGCTTTCAAAACAATCCACAGTGAAGTTGATTCTGAAGGGCACATTAACACATCTGAGCCGAGCTGACAGATCTTCAGCAGATGGGTTGATTTGTTTTTTTTTTCTTCTTCTTCTTTTTCATGATGGCATGCAGACAGAGGAAAATGAATCCCAGAGAAATAATGAAAAGGGATGAGTCAGTTCGTTAAAGAACATCACAACAGGCAGTGAGGGACGCCGAAGCGCCCGCCATGAGCAGAAACAACAACCAGCGACGAGTAAAACAAGTGAGTGGTGTAAATCGTGTTAGTCTCACAGGAATGAAAGGAAATGAGTGACGGAGAGAATTAGGTGCGAGTGACACAGTCAATCAAGATTTATCCAGATATGTGTGTGTTAGGATGTATCTGTTGTCAATTTTTCGAGACAAATTCTATTCATGTGTCGGGTCATTTCACGAAAAATCAACCGGTTCCTCCAAACTGACCTCCTCGCGATCAGCAGCTTCAGCGTATTTAACGAAGCCGTGCGCAGTTTTGACAGTTTTGTTTCAGAGTTTCAGGCCCTTAAAGTGCATAAATAAAATCATTTCTGAGCCTCGTAGCTTTATAATAAGCAGATAGACATTTTGAGGAATAAGAGACATATTTGATTTCTCTTTAAAGCCAAATAAATTAGGCGTCACAATCTAAAGACAAAATCGTAGTTTGAACAGTCGAGCTGCAGCAGTTTAATGACACAGAGGTGCAGAAACAATCAGTGGATGTGTTTCTGTTTTCTGATTATTCACCAGAGAAAACTTTTTAAAAAAGTGCATTCTGGGTAAACTTCTCAGCTTCACCTCCAATTTGAAACCAGGATCAGCTTCTAGACATGATTCCTTGTGGGTCAAATAATCTTCTAATACAGAAAATTAAGAGAATAAATCTTTAGATTGTAACACCGACGATGGATGTGATTTAATTGCGGTTTTAAACGGGGCTAAAGTGCATTTTCCAGCTCTGAAAATTGGGAAAATATTCATAGCATTGCTTCATTAAACGAACTTATTGTGCAAGAGAAAGAAAAAAAAACCCGCTGATTGTGAGGGCGTCGGTTTCTCAAATGATTTCACATGGAATGACCCTGTTGGTTAATATAGAGGTGCAATGTCAGAGCATAATTAAAATGTTAATCAATGTATCTGATTGGTATTAAGAGCAGCGTCTCCGGCGACTACGACCTCTCGGCGTTATCTCAGTCCGACGTCTCTTTTGGGTTTTTTTTTTTTTTTATTTCGACCGTCTCACTCTTTATTCTGGATAAAACTCTGGAGCAGACTGCGGGTGAAAGCCTTGGCAGCAGATGGACAGAACGACAGGAAGGAAACCAATAAGGGCGGCGTGTCGCTGAAACAACCACCGGCGTGGAAGTTAGTCATACTCACACATAGAACGGGCACAGATCGTCCTCGGGTGCACAAGCAGATCTAGAATGTGAAGAGTTGGCTTTTTATGACGCTAACAAGAAAACAACCGCCACGTTCAGGTCAGCAAGCACAACTTATACACATCCTGTTTCACTCGTTCACGGCGCAGCGGTAACTTTTAATGCAGCACCGCGTGGGAATAATGCGGCTTGGCTAAGTCGCAGAATTTGCTTTTGCTTGTTTTTGCATTTAGAGTTGCTCAGTGGCACCTGCGCCTGTATTCCCAGCCTGTGTTTGCTCTCAAAAAGAAGCAAAGATTAGTGAAGTAGGAGCTAAAATAGGACTCTTAAAATCACCCAGTTTATAGAAGGATGATGGTTTCATGTGCAGAAACTTAATGATCAGATATTTTCTAGTTTTAATTCCAATTTTCTTTGTTCTATCCTCAGGAAAAAAAATCTAGTACAGCCTTAAGCATCACATTAAACCCTCTGAACCGCCAAAAAGCCTGATTTAAAATGCATGTTATGTTTTTAAAATCGCCAAAATTAAACCATTTAACAGAGCTATTGTGTTTTTTCCCACAGTCCTTGAACGCCTCTATGATCTATGATGTGTTGTTTTGTTGGGATATACCATTTTATGTCACGGTTTTGTTTACTTCCTGTTTTATTTTGACATCCCCAGTCCTTGTGTGTCTCTTGTGGTTTTTACTTCCTGTCCACGCTCCTCAGTCGATCGCCCCAATCACTTCCACCTGTGTCTCCCTGCTCACTTCTTTGTGTGTCTGTAGTCTTGGCTCCTCTGTTCTTTTGATTTCTGTGGATTTAATCTTTATTTATTTTTGGATGTATTTTTTTTCCCCGGATCACCAGCTGCCTCCCGTTCACCCACCTGCACCACCCCGGTAAGTTTCTTTATCAAACTTAGTCTGTTCTTTTGTTTGTGTCTGCATTTGGATCTGTTCCTGACTAAACCCTGACACCTCAAAATCGTGATATTTTCTCACTTTATCACTTTATTCTACGTGTTATTATAGAAATAAGGGAAAAATAAAGCATTTGTTCGAACAAAACCATTACTGCTGAGAAGACGATGGAGACCCAAACAGAGATAAAAAGAGTGTAAATATTAACTTTTGGCAGAAACACAACTTTAAATAAACGCTAACAATCATCGCCTGCTATAATACTGCAGCTGATATGCCAAAGATGTGTTTGACCTTTTTCTGCTGCTCCCAAGTGGCCAATAAATGAAAAAAACGCAGCTTGAAATCAACATTTTCATTCTTATTAGGCTTTAAAATGTCAATGTACTGACAATATATATTCATCAAATTGAATAAAGTAAACATTCTGTCTCTACTTTCCCTTCATACAACTAGTCACACCTGTGGACACTTGGAAAATGTCGTGCACATTGAGTCAACATTTTCTCCGATAAGTGTGTCCTACAGCACAAAAGACCTTTTCTCTACTTTGAGTCGTGGTTCTATTTATTATTATTATTATTATTATTATTATTACTATTATTATATATTTAATCCCTATCTTTTATATACAAATATATATATCTCTTCTATATACCCCCCATTCAGAAGCCCATTTTCATATTCTGTTTGCATTATTTCTTATATTTATATGTACATTTTTTTCTGTCTCGTATATGTGTATCTCTGTGTAAATGCTGCTATCAACAACGTGAATTTCTCCACTGTGAGATAAATGAAGGCTGATCTTATCTTATCTTTTCATAAAGGAGGAAAAAAATGTAGCAGGAGCAAATAAAGGGACTGTTTGGGGTTCAGAGGGTTGAAAATAAATGCATTTGAAATGAGCAGAATTAGCTTTTTCATCTAAAAAACATAACTTTGGAACAATTTAACGTGTACTTTCACTGAGCTTCGATAGACACGCGTGATTGCCGTTTAATTATCTTACTCCAGGTCCGGTCCAATGAGGGAGTGCCTCCTGAGCATGGCTCGAGCCTGGGCGTTGCTCAGGTCGGCGGTGGGCTCTCCGTTGATGGCCAGGATGAGGTCGCCGACCCCCAGGCGCCCGTCGCGGCTGATGGAGCCTCCGTGGATGATGCTGCGGATCAGCATCCCCAGTCCGCCTTTCATGGCGCTCACCGTCATCCCTGCAAGGTAGATCACACATCAAGTGAGACCCTTTGGTTAAAACTTCTTCATGTCCCTGCAATTAATCCCAAAAGCTGCCTCGGTATTTTTCTTTGAGTATCATCGCGCTGCATCGTATATCCAGAGAGCACCTTAAGCAGACAGAGAAGAGGCGTTTGAGACAATCAATTTGCATATATCTTTATCCAGCCGCAGTTGTGTGGAGTTAATTTGCAAAGATCATAAAAAACCATTAGTGTGATGTGTTTAAGAGAAAGATTTGGATCTTAAATTCTATTTGATGAAATTGGAAACAGAAAAAGCCAAACGCATTATGCAGAATATTCCAATCGGCTCCCAAACAAAGATCTTCAAAGAGCACGAAGGGGGGAAAAAAAAAAGGGAGACACAGTCTTCTACGAGGAACTGAAGATTTTAAACAGTGCCTTCATAACACCTATTTGTTTTAGAAGTTCAAACTTAGTATTCTCTGAGCCAGTAGCAGCCCCTTGGGCCGGTTTTGAAATGCAAATACTCGCTATAGCGATGGAATTACCCTTTCTGAGTGGAAGGCAGCCAAAAAATCGTTTTCTATCATTTCGCCTCAAAACTGGGATTTATGAAACATGAGACAAAACTGTAAAGGCCAACTACGCCTTTCAATCCCGCAACCTCATTAACACTTCAGTGCAGGATGGGAAGGAAATAAATAAAAAGAACAAATAGGAAGAATGTGAGGAAATTAACACAAACCCAGGCTGGAGTTGCCCTTGACGACTGTGATAGTCCTTTCAAAGCTGCTCCCGGAGGTCAGAGCCGCTTTGTCGCCGTCTTCTGCCGACTCTTTCGCGCCGGCCTCGTCGTCCTTGAAGGTGATAAATCAACACGCTTATTCACGACAGTAAAACGGTGGGAAAAAAAAAATATGAGGCCGGATTCCAAACATGCCGGGGTCTCCGGAGGGGGAGCGAAGGTGCAGCGATTTGGCAGAGAGAATGAATTTTAAACAAATGAGCTTAGAATGTTGTTTGTGAAAAATGTGAAAAGAATCTGCTTGAGAAAGGAGGTTAGATGTTACCTTTAAAAAAAAAAAAAGAAAAAATCAATTTGTAAAAAGATCAAGGATGATTATTTTCTAGCTGCCGCGCTGCACTTTGACTCCTCTGTGAGGTTCACGGCACGGCATTGTGATTCATCAGCTAAATATTGGTTGCTTTCTGTGCTTTTTTGTAATGATTTATCTCACATAAAATCCTCCAATTTATGACTATTTTACCTTTATTAAAATGGTGATATCTCCAAAAGAGATAACCGGTTCCTTCTGGTACTGAACAGCCTCCTCCTCGGCGTTAGTTCTGCCTCCTGTTTCAGCGAACGGGCTGTACGAGTTGGAGCCCTCCGCCGGGTCTTCGTTGCTCGGGTGCTGTGCCAGGTACTGCTCGGAGCTGCTTAGGACGGCGTTAAAAGCCGGGTCGTGACCCGCCGGGCCCGGGGGAGAGTAAGAGGCCGGCTTCTCCGGAGAGAGAGTGCTGTCGGCGAAGCAGGGATGCTCCTCCAGCAAGTTGAGGCGAGCCGTCAGCTGGCGGCGAAACAAAGCACAGCGGCTCTCTGGTTAGTCAGACAACGGCCCAAAAGGGAGAATTCATCTTGCTCAGCCGCCATCCCATCCTCGTTGTAATGAGCCATAGAGAAGCCATCAGCGGCCAATAGAAACGGGCATAAATTACCGGTGATCTTGAGTTGGAAATGCACAATATGTAGTTTTATTATATCAGCGTTTAAGGTTTTATTGGAACCAGACTGGCTAGTAAAGAATCTCGGCATGAAATTCCCTTTGGAAGCCTCAGCAGAGGTAATAAACGGGCTTAAATGTGCGTACGGGTAGAAGGAGTGAGGCTCGGTGAGCAGACACGTAGAGTAAAACAGGAGGTGGGAGGTTTAATTTGAATACGGTAGGACTGTAAATTCTGGTTTGTGCCATTTAGAGGTCGCCTAATCTTGAAGGATCCAAACAAATATGGACTGTTTTTAAAGAAAAGTTGGGTTTTTCCTCTATAATAAAACTTTATGAGGTCTTGATCTTAACATGTGAAGAGCTCTGAGATGACTTACGTTGTAAATTGGAGTTACAGTGCTGTGACAAAGTATTTACCCCCGTCTCAAATTCGTATTTATTAGAATATTTCCCCCTCTTAAATGTTTAAGGGTGGCCCAACCAGTTACTAGATTCCTTCTTCACACAGGACCAGGTAGCTTTGAGCAGTTTTTTTTCCCCTTAATAAATAAAATCATCATTGAAAAGCTAAATTTTGTGTTTACTTTGGGTATCTTTGTCTGATTTGTTTGATGATCTTAAACATTAAAGTGGGGAAAATATGCAAAAAGTAAGAATTTCAGTCATGCTTTGAATGAATTTTAAAATAAAACCATCAATATTTCTTTCGTTTTCAGTATAATTTAGCATTTTATTATTTTTATAATGTATGTTGGTGCACCCTATGTAAAAAGTTCTATTTATGCTGTTATCTGTTGGAATCAATCATGAAAAAAGAGTCGTCATGAAAAGTTAGAGGATTTAACAGAGTTAGAAACTGTAAAACCAGACAAAATTCAAACTTTTCCACAGTCCCTGAAGCACTCATCTGTCATTCAGTCGTGAAACTGAACTAAACCAAAGCTTAAAATTGTGATATCTCATCAAAATCACTTTATTCTACCCGTTTAGTAATTCGCCAAAATAATAAAACCCGTGCAGCTGAGAGTCACGTGAGCTCCTGACTGTGTTTACACAAAGCAGAGACGAGAAAAGTCGGGAAACGAACTCAATCTGAGCCCTCAGATGACTCGTGTTGTGAGCTGGTGCTACATAATTAACACTGAACTGAACCTCAGAATTGAAGCAGTGATGTTTCTTTGGTTTTAGTGCATTATATCATCATTTGGGTTTTGGGGGGTGAGATGGAGGCTCACATGGTGTCCACAGCACCACGCTTACGTAATCAGCCTTTTTAACGCTGTGCAGAGCAGAACCTTTGGAAACACTCGCTGTCACTTCACTGGCAGCGGCTTGGAGGCTAACTAACACCGCCGTGACCTTTATGTTGTCACTCTGCACACGGGTAATAAGCAGAGCGCAAGAAAACTTCCTTATCCCTCAAAAGAATATCACCGCAGATACAGTCGGCGCCGCTGAAAAGCCGGTCCGCCGTTTACCGCCGCAGATATGAGGTTTATCGCCGGACTTGTTGCCTCTCCCCGGAGCTTATCATCACGAGACGACTGTCTGACCTCCTACCGACATCTGAAATGTGTTTTCCTGAATCGCCCAACACTATAAAATGCCACAGGTCGTCCTGGCCCTTCTGGGCCGCCCTATTATACCACAAATTACCGAAGAGACCCTACAAATAAGGTCAGATGTAACCTTTGGGAACACTGGAAGCACACAGGCACCCCTTAGGAAAATAGTTTGTCTGGCCCTCGCTCGTTTTGTTTGTTTTCCTTATAATTTAATATCCATTTCTGGAGTTGCTGTTCTCGGGGCAACAAAGTCAGCTGCAGCTCTCACACAGCGGCGATGTCAGTGATGTAGTTACTGCTCTAATAAAGAAAAAAACCAACATGTCTCGTGACATTTTGGCTCCGGAAAGCAGAAAACAAAGAATAATGACTACATGCTGTATAACTCATTGTGACAAAGGGCATAAGCTGCTGCAGTAACATTCAATGAAATGAGGAAATAATTTCTTTTGCTTTCAGTCGTCTTCTACGTGAATGTTTCCTTACCTTCGGCGTGGACGAGTGCAGGTAATCCAGGTCGGCGCCGCAGCCGCTGCCGTGGAGAGCGATCATGGACGCCTGGAAAGTGTCGTCCTCTATCCCGGAGTAAGTGTGATCTAACACCTTTTCATCAGATAGGTCTGCTTCGCTGGTGTCAATCTGTGATAACGGATGAAAGCATCACCTGGTGGCACTGAACCGGCCGTTATGACTGAGCACTGTGGTGAAACATCCAGTCACAGGCAGCTGGAATTATGCTTTTAAATACAAAATACTGCTAACACAACATTAGCACATACCAGATTGACGGCATGTATCTGTCAGAGTGATATAAACAGAGAATATAACAAAAGTGAAATTTGCTCTCCCTCCTGATTGTTTCCCCCAAAAGCTAACTAACCAATGCAGGCTCTGCTCGGTAAAGGATGCCCTCAGCCAGTCCTTCTTCCTCTGCTTCTCCAACCAAAATACTGTTGAAGTCAAATGAGTGGATGGTGGATGATGAGGTTATCTCCTGCTCACCATATGGGTGTGGAGAGTGGGAATATCCACATATTCCCTAGGAAAGTGGAGAAATTCTTTCAGTGTCTCCGCCTTTATGTGATCGGACGTTTGATTGTTTTGTTTTTTTGTTTTAAAATTGACCAAATCTAGTAAATTAGTACGGAATGGAGATGGAAAAAGATGGGTTAGGAGTTGTTAGAAGGTTACAGGGGATGTCCCGATACGATCTCAAAGACGGTCCGTGAAGGAAGAGCGTCATTTGTCATCATCATTTACCGATCCGGACTTGTTTTAAACACATGAGCTCTGGCTGGAAGTCATTAAGCAGCACAAGAGTCTTTGTCGCGGTGGTCGTTCACGAGCTAAACTCCTGAAATTCTCCATTTTTGCCAACATGGAACTACTCGTAATCTAAGTAAGTGCCTCCTCAGGTTGCTACAGTAGGACAACAAGACACTATAGTTCATCTACGGTATATTTTCTGACCCCTATGAAGTAATTTCACCATCTTTCGGCGCTCGTACAAACGCCCTACCCTCGTCTTTTCTTGATGCATTGCAGCGCCGTTCAGTTGTGAAGCGTACACACCGCATTGATTTTAATATCCTCAATGTACTTGATGTGCGTATTATCTTGGAAAATGGGACTCAGTGTCTGCAGATACTAAATAATAAAAGATCAGGGGGGGAGAAAAGAAAAAAACTAAAGAAGCCGGATCGGGACATCCCTATTAAACACTATAACCGACTGTAGAGTTAAATAATGATCTCGCGCTACGTGTTCAAACAGAGAAATCGCTCAAAACGACACATTCGGAGTTTCATCGACTTAATTCTTCCCAGGAAAAAAAAAAAGAAGAAGAAGAAGAAGCTCTTGAACATTTCATAAGTATTCTTTAGCAGGAGCTCTTCATATTGATTTTGTGTATCATGCAGCCCAGACAGATATATGAAAAGCACGAAGGCATATTGGAGGATTACACTCGTCAGACTCAATTTCGAGAGGCAATACAACAAAATACCCCTCAGAAGTGCATTCCACATCCTGCAGGAGAGCTGGATAACTCCGCAGAGGCTTCCTACAGCTCTGTAATCCAGCTAACCCTGGCAGCCCAGAGGTCTCACTGAGTAATCCAACGGCAGATTCAATACAAGAGAAATGCAGCTCTACTGCTGAAAGAATGCAAGCTGGTTTTTTTTTTTTTTTTTGCCGAGAATCATCCCGTACAAAGAGCACAGGTGCCTCGAGCGATGAACATGCTGTTGTACAGACCTAATATTTTGACAGGTGCCCCAGTGTGTTTAAATGTACAAGAGGGTGTGTGCTCTCGGAAAATTCAATAACATAATAATATGAAACAAAAGGGCGCGGAGCCTTTTAGGCTGGTCACCTCCTCTGGAAGAACAGTGGGTGGAATGCTAAACCGCGCAGCCTACCTCCGCACTGTTTCCCTGCATGAAAAATTCAAGCTCTTGTAAGCCGAGCCCTCGTGGCCGGATCCTAAGTTGCGAGATGTAAGGCTGCCTGACTCGAAACCTCACGTAGCGACAAATCCTCCACTGCTAAGCAAATAGTACAGAAAAGCACGAAGTAACCCCACAAGTCGGGCACGCGTTTACACCTCCGACACACGAGCCGCATCAGTTTTCAGATAAAAGCAAAAGGAGGGGGAGAAAAAAAAGAAGAAGGGAAGCTAATACTCTTATGCTTACAGGCAGAGGTTTGGCGACTCCGATCTGGACCTTGCCAAGCTTGGCACCCTTCAGGGCCTGGACGGCGTCCTCCAGGCTGGCGTTCTCCAGGTCGGTGGCGTTAACATACATGAGTCGGTCTCCTGGCAACAGCCGGCCGTCTTTCTCCGCGACGCCGTTGGGAACCAGAGAGCGAATCACGATTACCGTCTTGGCCGGGTCCAGCGGGTCCTGGGGTGAAGCCAGGACACAGCAGACTCAACAGGTGAACTGGCACGGCCTTAGACACATGTTTATCATCTGTACGGTATTGTTAATTGTATGAACAGAGTAGATGTTGAGAGCAATTACCCAAAAATAAGACAATAAAGCAGCAACACCTACAAACCAAAGCGACTTTCCCCCCAACAACAACACACAAGTTTCCATAAAACCTTCTGCAAAGTCAGAGGAAGAATCCCTACCTGGTAGTCCAGAATGCTGAATCCCAATCCCCCTTCTCCCTTTTCAAGCTCGATATTCTGGATCTCCAACTCCCACATGGCCAGAGGAGATCCTATCGCCTCCTCGGCCGCCGCGGTATCCTGTGTCGCTGCCGCTGTGTTCACCTCCGAGTCTTCGGCAGCCAGCGCGCCGCCGCCGCCGAGGTCTATTTGATTCTGCAGGGAGACGGAAAAGCCCAAAATCACTATGTAACGCCATGCCTTCCTCCCTTTTTACTCCCAACCCATAGGCTGCTACCCTCTAGTTGTGTTTCTGGCTCAGGTTTCTGGCAGTAGATAAAAGGGAAATATCTTTGGGATGCTCGGGCCTTAGTACATTATCACAGATAAAGCCACGGAGATGAAAACCCCTTCCCCCCAAAGGGAAGCTGCTTTTGATGTCTCATATCTCCAGCAAATGTTGTTGGCTACTGCTGAGGTATTGCTCGTATTGGTCTTAATAAACTTTCAGCCTCCCCTGCTTATCACTAAGTCTTAATCCATCAAGGCTGGCGGTGGGGGGAAAGCCAATGGAGCGATTGACAGCGAGGCTAAGCTAATAATGGTTGATGGGTTACAACAGAAGAGGAGGACTTAAAGACTTTCACTCTCTAATCATATTGCCAAGCTGCACATGCATGGGCAGGGAAAACAAGTTCCATGATACATCGCTGTCGGGGAGGCTCCGACACTGTATATATGCATCATCTGCTCTGTAATTAGCACAGTCCTCGTGGCTTTTCTTTTTTTTTAGCCCCAAGGAGTCGAACTTCAATTTCATGTGATGATTGCTTGTAGGGCACATGATAGAAGTTGCTCTACTTTTACCAAAGCTGTGAACGCGTTACCTTTAGCTGACACGCTGTGGATAAAGCCTCTGACTCGGGTTGGACGGCTTCCATGTCAGGCTGCAGATCAGGAGCAGGACGGCAGCAAGTCATGTAGACGCAGAGAGGAAGCTCCTTCAGGATTCTCACCACTTCTTTGTGGGTTTCACCAATCAGGGAAATGCCATTGACCTGAGAAAAGAGAGCAAAAATGTCTTTTAAAAGGAACTTTTCCAAGGTTTCAAGTGGCTTCAGTTGATTTTTATGTATTATTTTCGAGGCAGAACAACTACTTTTAGTGGTTCAGCTTTAGTCGTCGTGGCGACAAGAACTTCATCCGGCAAAAAAAGAGGCCGACATTAGCATTAATTTGGTGCCATTTCTGTGGGCTGGTTGCATGTAGAAAACAGTACTCTGACTCTGGAAATAGCCTCCCGCTGAAGCTGAAAATGGAAAGTGGCGAGAGCGAACCGAAAACAGCGAAGTCGCACGTCATAAATACAAAATAAGGCCACATAAGAGCAGGAACAACATGGTGGAGAGCTGGGGGGAAATGCAAATTTGGGAGTTTATTCTCCGTCATTACACGTCAGTATTACTAAAATAAACATATTGATTCATGCAGATTTAAGTTACGCTCTTGTTTTATTCATTTCTTCGGGGCGTTCGGCATTTAACGTGTCATTTTTGCAGTTATTTCCCCAGATACCTCCACACATGTATACCTCTGTACATGTTAATATCACGGCTCATTTAGGTGAACACTTACCTCCAGCAGTTCATCTCCGCTGAACAGTTTGCCACAGCGGCCCACGGGTCCCTCAGGAAGCACCGAGCGGATGTAGTGATGCCCGCTGTTGGCTTCCAGACTGATGCCGAGGCCGCTGTTCTCGGTGAACTTCTCCACCTGAGCCACCTGACACGGAAACAAGGAGTTACATCTCCTCTGATGTGAACCTCTTTTATTATAAGGAGGCTAAATATGGGAAATAATTCTATCTGTGTGGGTGTTTAAGTGTAAAAAACAAACTTACTACAACTTCATTACTGGGGCCCAGAATCTCCTGCCACTTCTTCATCAGCTCCTCGTCTTCAAAAGGCTTCAGCTCTTGAAAAAGGGCAACACAAAAGCCGTTAACGCGGAACGACACGAGGCGGATTTGCCTTCATTTTGCATGCAAGCTACTTGGAAATGTGCGCAAAAACAACATCAAGCAAAGTTTTATCTGCACCTATTATAATGTTTAAAACTACTGCGCCGTCTGGAGCTGACAGCGGCGGCCCGTCTCACTGCTTCCCCCCGACATTGTGTGCTGCTAGTCAGTGTGGTCCTGTCAACAATAGCCCTTATCTGTCAGATGTGTGCCCGGTATCTTTGCTTGGAGCACTCGGAGAAGCATCCCAGCCTCCTACCATGTTTGTCTTTTGTTAGCTGATCCGTGGCTGGGCTGACATCAGATCCTTCACTCTTTGTCTGGAGCTGCTTTTCATCTGTGGCGACTATAAACACACAATGAGGAGTGAGACAGACAGAAGCAGGCACCGGCACAGACAGTGTAGGAACCCGGCCGCTGGAAATAGACACAGATCTCGGATTCATTTTTGCGATATCGGCTGTCTTTTCTACTCGATTACTTTTACGTTAGAGGAGGAAATATTAAATTTCCCGATTGATCTAGAAAGAATAGAATTATCCTTTGTTATATATACTGACAGAATCAACACATGAAAGGACTTAAATCTATGCTTAATAATCCTTTTTTTAGCAACTTCATACCATGAATTAGGGATTCCACAGGGCACCGAACTGGTGACCTGTTAAATTCTTATTTTGTCACTCGAGCAAATCTTTGTGTGTGCTTTACATCAGTGTTTTTATTTATCGACTTGATTTAGGATTAAGTCATAGGATGAATATGGGCTAATGGATGGATATTTTTGCTAAATTAATGGTTTGTAAAGTGCATTTTTAAAGCTTGCACAAGTATGAACTGACTTTTGTCATGTTAGATGCATTCTTGCAGCTCTGACTCACTGACAAATGACAGTTAAATGGTCTTCAGTGGTTACTGTCTGATCAACTGGTGCTTAAATCAGCAACAGCGACTCATACATCATATTTTAGCACCAGATTTCAAACTACATGTGCATTTGTGCAGCCTGCAGCTAATAGTTAACACAGCAAAGACACAGAATTCGTAAAAATATTCAAAAAAAGCTGTTATTCATGCACAAGATGGACGTCTCGGCTGCAAACACACAACTTTAACAACCTGTTAAGACCATCAGGAAGCAAATAGTTACCACACTACAAGCATGCAGTCATAATATTTTAGCTTTTACTGGAATGACTCTTGCTGAAGGGCTGGAAACCACATGTGTAGTGGTGGTATAGTTTGGCTATGTCGTGCTAGCTAACATGACGTCTACTGACAATAAAAACAGGTGGATTTCCAAACAAAGGTGCAAACCAGATGGACAGAAATAAGGTGAAAATCTGATTACAGCTGAGTCAAGGCAGCAGAAATCAATACCAATATGTCAGAGAGGGGACTAATTATGCAATATGAGCATCAGGAACTTCAAGAAATTTGTTTTTATTGTTTGTCCAACCCTTTAATATGAAAATGATCCAGGTCCAGCTTCAAGCACTCGTATTCAGAACCATGTATCTTGAATTCAACCACCTGGAAGTGAACTACAGATACTGCTCATATTGGCTCATGTTTGCTGCATTACAGATGTTTTTTTAGTTTGAGATGGAAGATTAGGAGTCGCTTCATGTTTAAGGTGGTTTTTTGTGGTGCCAGAGTGGCTCTGCTGGAAAAAAGCATCTTTCATTAGGAAGCAAATCTATCTGCAATCGCTGCTTGTTGGACTCACGGTGGTCGTTTGGAAAATTTGAACGCATCCCCAAACCCTACTTGACACCAGTTTGAGTAATTAGTTCAGCTTCTCTCCATAATTCCCCCCATTTAATAACCATTTGCACACCGAATTATATTTCCAGTAAGTTAGCAGATATCTTGTTCCACCGGTGCCCCGGATGCAGTAAATTTGTCTCGCTTTCCTCTTTCCTTTATTACACATTATGCTCAAGTGCAAACTCCTGCAGTTGTTATTTTCTGAGAGGTTTCCCACAGCAGCCAAGAAGAAACACCGGCCTCCTCCGTCTCTGTCTGTCAACGGCTGGCTGCTAGTTTTTCTTCATGTTTTTGGGCTACAACTTGCTGGTGCCAAATCTAATCACTTTCAGTCTCCATCTATCACCGCTGACACTAAACAACTTCTGCAAGTTTCTTTTCTTGCTTCTGCAGTAGCCTGGAGGTCCTGTCTGTACAGCTGGAGACAGGAATCTGTCTCTGTGCCGTCTGTCTGTCTTGTTTAATGTCAATAATATGAAAATGCAAATGCGTTGTTATTAAAAAATATATATACTGCACATGTATGCAGAGGCTTCTTCTGTATATCTGCCAGTTTCTTGGTGTCAGATGTTGTGTCACATGCTTGTAAATCTTAATTTCTCTCAACTTTATTTCCATAAATGACAATAATTGGTGTATTTCATCGTCGTATTAGGGAGGAATGGACACTAATGTGGGATTTTATTGATAGAATTAGGAGGAAGTGGCAACACGCTATTCATTTTTCAGCATTACCGCAGCGTAAAATAATATTAACGAGTACGTTCTCCCGCCACAGAGCGGAGACGCCGACGTCCTCATTGTGTAATATATCACAGTGTTGACATCAATTTGCGTCGTATTTAGAGCACGGCTCACGTCAGCGTTTTTCACATGTGACTGGAGAAACTTGTGCGTCTTAATGATAAAAGTGACATGAAATTTCCATCCGGAGTCACATGGAAATTACTCCTGACTGCCGTCTGAGCCACATTTACACATCAAATGACACCTTTTTTTTCTTTTTTTTATTTGACAGGATGATGAGCAGCGAGGAATCTTTATTTATTTTTATTTTTTTTGCACCAATCCTCATTAAATTTCTCTCACTCGTCCTTACCTTGTGCCGCCTCCTCTGCTTGCATCCTCTCCAGCTCCAGCTCCCTCATGACGGTGGTGGTGGTGGGCAGGATGGTGGTGGACGGGGGCAGGACGGTGACGGCGGGCGCCACGGCGGGGGGGATCTCCTCGGGCCTGAAGCCCCGACGGATCAGCTTAAGGTGGACTGTCTGGCCCGTGTGTCTGAGCACCTCCACGGCCTGCTGATTGGTGTATCCCTGGATGTTGACGCCGTCCACCTGCAGGGGGCGACCATTCGGGAAACCGCGGATTAGACGAGGATTGTTTGGACACTGTGAGTATGCTCGACTCGCATGTTTGCAAGAGATGGAGCTCAGAAACAGAGCATTGCACCTGATTTATTTGCATCATTTAATGCAGGTAAAAGCTGCATCGGTTTAAATAATTAACAGACAATTAGGTGTGCTATTAAGTTCTTAACTTGTGCCCCAAAGCACGTTATCATTTGCACTTAAGGGCAAAACTAAACCAAGCAAACCCTCTTAGATACACACCAGAAGAAAACAAGTTTGTGAGAACTTGAGGGGGAAAAAAAAGCCAAGGAGACGTTAACTCATGTTTCAAATGATGCAAGAAATTGCAGTTCGACTTCGCTGTTAATGTCCTGCAGTAATGAAATTAAAAACCTAATTGCTCAGTGTGCTAATTCCAGACTCTTTTATATTCACAGTCACAGGAAGGAGAAGAAAAAAAAAAACTGTTTCTGAATTATCAGTTAATTATTCAAAATTATGCATCTCATAATTCGACTAAATGAGTAAATGTGATCACTGTAATAGATAATATGAGAGATTCGCTGCATATTTTACCTCGTGCCACTGAAGACAGAGAAAATAGTCGTAGCTACAAAGAGCATAATTAGGGTACTTACAGCTATTATCTGGTCTCCAACATGAATGCGGCCATCTTGATCCACGGCGCTGTCTTTTGTTATGCTCTTAACGAAAATACCGGAGGGCTCTGAGGAGTCGGAACAAGTTGGGGGAAAAAAAATAAAAATTAAAGGGTGAGGAAAGCAACCGTAAATCATGACGTCGAACGAGAGCCCGGGGACAGAAGCGAACGCATGTTGAAGAGTGACGGTAAAAGTTAGTGTTGGCAGGCACAAAAAGGAAAAATGCAATGTGATAAACTCAGTGCGCCTTGAAAAAGAAATAATTCACTGAGTATATATACAGCGCTGCATGTGATTCTCGTGCATTAAAGCATTTATACAAGTGAAGCAGATTTCAATGTAATTTAAAGCTCAATTATTTGATTTTTTGGCCACTTGGGGGCAGCAGAAAAGACCAAAATGCAACTTTGGCATACAAGCTGATATTATTCTTACATTACAGCAGACAATGAGCATTAGTTCTCATTTAGATTTGTGTTTCTGATGAATTCTGAGCTGAATAATAACTCTTCTTTTAGCTCCGTTTTGGGCTCCACCATCTCCAGATGAGTTTTTCTGCCGTTCTTTTGCTCCTGTTACATTTTTCCTCACTGTGGGCTCATTTTTCACTCCAGCATAAAGTCCTGTGCCTCTATGGAAACAGCACAACCACGGCTGGAAGTAGGGAGAACTCAGAAATGTTTTCGAGTTATGACTATAATGTCATAAATCGTTAAAATAAAAAAAGATGCATAATGCTTTTCTAGGTGCCGACCAGCGTTACCAATGCCGGACAATAATGTGACTGTATACAGTATATTACATTTGTTCTTCTCTGTGTAAACAAAACCTGCCTTTCAGCCCAGTTTACCCACAAACATCTCTGAATTGTGCCACTTTATTGTTAGCTACAGCTGAATAATGAATGGTTTTACGGTTGTGCTAAGAAGTGCAGAATTATTTGTCTTTTTACAGCATCTGGTTGTGCACGACCAGATGGCAAATTTTTCAACGTGGAGTAAAAGCATCGTGATTTTAAGCTTAGATTTGGATCATTTTTCCAAATAAATATCACAAAAGACGAGTTCAGGGAGCAGCAGAAAGTACTTCCTGTTTTTTTACAGCTTCTGTCCCTGATAAATGCTATAATTCTGGCTTCTTCAAAAAAATAAAAAATAAAAAAAATACCAGATAAGATGCCTTTCAAACCTGGCAGCAGGTTTTAGGATCGACCAAACTGATATATTTACAAGCTTTATGTGTCTGTCATTTTAACATTTAGTGTTCAGTGGTTTTATGAGCTTCTTTTTTTTATGTTTTGTTGGACTACAAACCCCCAAAAATAAGCTACAAGATGCTAAAACACTGCAGAACTGGGTTCATCACAAGCAATCCCTTTCAGTTCAGCTACAGGCGAGAAAACAGAGCACTCAGGTTCAGATGTGTGTTCGGTGATATGGAGAAGTAATTAAACATCAAAGGTAATTTCCCGTCTCTAACCTGAGTTTTTATCTCCAACGTAGCCGGCAATAGTGATCCCCAGTCCCTGGGCGTTCTTGGTGAGGCTCACATCAAACGCCTCAGACTCCTCTTCCTCACAGTCCTGTGTGAAGATTAATGGAAATGACAGATCGGCATCCACTGATCAGCAAATAGCAGCAGAGGATGATTCATCTGACAGCGGCAGAAGGGCAAAACGTGGCACTTGAGTTGCAGGGTCACCAAACAGGCATTGTTCAGCTCCGGTTACTGAACGCTCTGAACCCGTCAGCCATAAAAAAAAAAACACACAGCTAATGTGTGCAATCAAAGGGGATGCGAGGTTCGTCATTCATAGCGTGAGTCACTGGGACTCATTCATGTTTAAATAGCGCTCAGTGTTGAGAATTGCCATGAAATAGCTGTTTGTTGGAGGACGTAAAGCTGCTCTCCAAAGCGTGAGTCACAGGTGATGTAACCTGCAGTTGTCTTTATTTCTTTTTATTCAGGCTTGTCAAGAAGTGATAAAAGACCTCAAGTTTGGGTGTTTGATATGGTAATCAATTGTCATCCCGACGGCGCATTAGAGAGAAACTCCTTCTCACTTTAGCGATACTACAAATCAATTTGAATGTGACGCACACCCTGGCGGTAAAACATTCTGTCGGCTTTCTGCTCCGTATTGTGTCTGCAGACGAAAGCCGCCTCTCACCTGCTGCTCGTTGACGGTGGGAAGCACCACGGGCATGACGGCAGACGGAGTTTCTTCCACGGGACCCCTGGTGACCACCAGCTTCACCCTGTTGCCGCACTGTCTGAGGACCTGGGCCACCTGCTCGCTGCCCATCCCGTACAGGTCGGTGTCTCCGATCCGCAGGATGTGGTCCCCGCTGCGCAGCCGGCCATCCTGACGCAGCAGAAAGCATGTTTTGTTTACCTTCAGTAGAAACCAAGCTCGAAGGATATTCAGTGTCATAAAATATGGGGGGGAAAAACATAATTTTTGTGGTACTTGCTGCATAAACAGCTCTGAGATGCATTAAGACAGTCACCTGATCAGCTATGCCTCCAGGAAGTATAGTTTTGACGATCACCCCGGTGGTCTTTCCTCCGACAATACCAAAACCGAGACCAGTGCCATCGTTGACCAGCTCAATTGTCTCCACATGCTGCCACTAAAAAAAAAAAAAAAAAACACAAATAAGAGTTTAATTTATCCTATCATAAACTTCTGATCTCAAAAAGCATAGATTAAACAATGCAGATTCAATAAAACTAAAGTGTTATCTTCAGTATCAGGTGCTTTACAGCAGATAATAAGCAGCAGCTTTAGTCAAAAGTTCTGTTGAATATTTACTCTCTTTTTTGCTCCATTTGGGGCTCCACCATGTCCTGATCTGTTTTTGGGCGTTTTCTTTATATTTTTGCTCACCGTTGATTCATTTTTCACTGCAATATATACATTTAGCACCTCTATGGAAACAGCACAAGCATGTGTAGAAGTAGAGAGAACTAAAATATGTTTTCAGGGCAGTTTGGCACAGTTGTGTTGCCATAATGAAGCCGTTGACCAGCTCAGTTTTCTGCACATGCTGCCACTAAAAGTCATGAATCCAAAAAAAAAAAAGATCATAAACTTCCCATTTCTAAACGGCCTTGCAGATCCAATCAAAATGCACTCTTTTAGATAACTTTGCAGCTATGTTAGAAAATCCTTAACAGGTCTGTGTGTTGTGTGTGTGTCTGCTGTTGTACTGCACGTAGCTGTTTAGCTCCACAAGATCAGATCATGCGATGCTCCTCGCAGAGATCTATTGGCACGTCGGCGTGTGAATGCATTCGTACCGCGCTGGAGTTGGCCGACAGCGTGCTGGCAGCAGAGGGCGTGCGGGACACCACAGGGCTGGCGAGCTGAGGTATCGGCCCTCTTGCCACTGCGAGCTGCACCCTCTCTGAAGCGCTCTGCAGAATGCCTATGGCTTGCTGGTGGGTCACCGTTTGATCCAGGGGCTGGCCATTGATGGCCAAGATCTGGTCGGCTTCTTTCAGCTTCCCGTCGCTGTCGGGTGGGAGGGGGCGAGAAGCATGAAGGGAGACGATGAATAAAAGCCCCTCAATCCAGTAATTATCCTCGTCTCTTTCCCTGTTTGTCATCCTGTCAATAGCGTTGTTTGTCCCAGAGATATTGTACCTTTAATATCTGCGCTTCCAATCAAGATTGGAATGTCAGTTTTCTATTTGAATAAAATTAGACGAACAGTCGAGCCGTTACGAAGACACGAAAAGTAAAGTTTGCACAGTTCTTCAGGCCCCCGAGTTTGAAGCAACAAACATTTGAAACATGTTGTAAAACCTCCACTTCACTGTTCCCCTGCACGGCCGCCAGCTCCCTAAGATTCCCTAAATATCTCCGACGTCCCCGGCCGACTGTCTGAAATTCTCTAATGCCTTTAAATCTGATTCAACAAGCGGCCAAATGTTGAGAAACCTTCTGGAACGCTGCTAGAATTTTTAATCAATCTCCAAGTCTTATAGCAGCGTGCTCCTGGCTCCTCCGCCGCCGCCGCCGTGTTGTTTCTTACGTACCAGTGGGCGACGCTTCCTGGCTGAATTTCCTGGATGAAGATGCCGAGCTCGCCGCGGTTCTCGCTTTTCAAGCCCACCACGCTGAAGCCAAGACCTCCAGACACCGGCTTCTGCAGCTCCACGTGTGTCACGTAGCGGCCCTGCGTCACACACACACACACACACAGCATCCACTTTGGCCCTGGGCTGATTCACTATAGCATCAAAGCTCCAGGCTGCCTTTAGAAGTCTATTTGATGTGTCTCGAGAGAGCAGCAGCGCCGTGTGTAGTCCTTAGTTCTCGTTTTTTGACTGTCTTTGGATATTTGGTTTGAGTTGTAGGACTTATTCAACACCGATCTCCTTGTTTATAGATGAGGAGTGTTTTTTTGTGATAAAATCAGTAAAGCAATAAAAAAAAAGTCCAGCTATAAATATAGAGGGGACTCAGCGATAGATTTTAATATCTCCTTGGAAGCGTTCCCCCTTTTTTTTTTTTTTATTGCTTTTCAACTCTGAATCATGGCCATTATAATTTGGCTTTTTGACATAAAAAGTAAAAGGAGAAAAAAAAGCGATTGCATCTGTTTTCACCTCATTTAATTCAGTGTTTAGTTGATGCAACTTTGGCTGCAGTTACAGGATTTGAGCCTGTGTTGGTCTCAATCAAACCTGAACATCTGGACG